TTTTTCCTGATGTTTTGCTTAAGCTCTGTCTCAGAATGATGCACAAGATGGAGAAAAGGAGCCGAGTCTGACGACTGAAATTCTTGCATGCTGAATGTGAAATATTTGCAGATAAAAATGGCAGTAAAACAAACAAATGGAAAATCATTTCTTATGTAAGAACACAGGAGGAAAGTGTCACAGTGCTGACAGTTGTATCAGACATGCAGCTTAAATACTGCTAAGAGAAGGTTCAAAACAGAAGGAGCTGTTTTACAAGGCAGGTAGGAGAACTCTAAATTGTCTTACCCAAGAACAGAGTTGCTAAATATCTATATGAGTTTGAGTGGGAGAGTAGACAAATCATCCAATTCAGGAAATAACTTGGTTGGAAGGGAAAGCTTGGTTTCTCTGGTTTTATGAGCTGCTCGAAGGATAGACAGCTTCAAAGGTAGATGGAGTTACTCAAGGTCTGATCCAGTGGAGATCTGACTGACTCCAGCTGTACCCTTGGGAGCACCAGGCCCAGCATTGGCAGCTGGTAGAGCACTGAGATGCAACAAGTGATGGTCAGGTGGGGGTTATGGAAAGGCTCTGTTCCACAGGGCAGTAGGGATGGCCCTGAACTGCTGGAGCTCAGGGAGCAACACTGGGACATTGCTCTCAGCCATAGGGTTTGGGTGCTGTTTGTAGATGGGGGTTGGACACAGTGATCCTTGTGGGTCCCTCTCAGCATCTCACTGATAAGGGTACTGGCCCTTGCTGAGCACTGTGCATCCCCTAGGAGAGGCAAGATGTCCTGTCCCTTTATTTTTTGCCCAACTACATCTGGGACATCCCAGTTGCTGGGAGACCAAAGGGAGAAATAAGACAGAGGTCTTCAAAAACATAACTGACCTGGGAACGGTGCATGGAGATGATTGGTTTCAAACTTAAAGAGGGTAGATTTAGGTTGGATATAAGGAAAGTCTTTCACAGTGCGGGTGGCAAGGCAGTGGAACAGGTTGCCCAGAGATGTGTTTGATGCCCCATCCCTGGAAACACTCAAGGCAAGGCTGGGTCAGGGTCTGGGCAAACTGATCTACCTGTGGTGTCCGTGTTCACTGCAGGGAAGATGCACTGGATGACCTTTAATGGTCCCTTCCCACTCTAAGGATTCCATGGTTCTATAACCACTCACTCACCTTTCTAAAGGCAGGGCTTGAGTGGAGGTGAAGAACATGGGGATTTTGCTGAGCTCTCCACGCAACTCTCCAGCACGCGTTTCTCTGCTGAGCCCATCTACAAAGTGCTGACTTGAGGCAGCTGTGAGGTTTTGTACCCTTTGAGCAGAGACACACTGGCTTTCACTGCCCTGGGCTTTTCGTTACATCTCTAGCTGATCTCCACCAGCTTTGCTCAATGTCATTATCAAAAATTTCCAAACCCCAGCTGGGATGGCTGTAGGGGTTTGTCAAAATTGTCTTTTCTCTCCAGATCACTTCTTTGTGTGTTTCTGTACATATTTCCTCTGCACGCGGAGTGGGATAAAAAGCTGACTTGAGACCTACTCATTTTATGCCTGAATTACCTCGATTTTCTCTGCCCGAGGCTCCTCATTCTTTTCCACCGTGTTGCTACCGGTCTGCTGGGAATCTCTCCTTTCCTGTGAAAGTTTCTTTTGTCCTCCAAAATGTGCACTTTTCCCAGTGATCTCCAATTTCTGCCCCTTAGATCTCACGCAGCTCTGTTAGACACTTGTGTATGCACGCTCCATTTCAAAACGGCTCAAATTTATGTCCAGCCATTTTTATCTATTTATTTTTTGGGCGATGATGCACTGATTCCCGTCTGATATAAAAAAAAATGCAACAAAACAGAGTGCATTTTCAGCATGGTTTAGCAGTGCCTCTGCAAGAATCTCGAGTCGCTTAGCTAAACGGTGGGTGCTCACTTGGGCGTGGAAAAGGCCTTGGTGTCTTTGGATGCGTATGGCTTTATTTAACCTAAGTACAGTCTTACCCTGGAGAGTCAACAAGCAGAAGGAGAAGGTGATATTGACACAGTTTGGGTAACACTGCTGGAACGTTCATGAGAGACCCCTCAGTATTTTGAGCAAAATGCTTTGTTTCAGTGAAGCTGTCTCCAGCGTTTGGGATTCTCAAAAGCCAGTCTTAGCACTAAAGACTGAGGCAAAGCAGTTATTCAGTTGCTCCACCGCATTTAGCAGCAGACCTGCATTTTCCCTGGTCTTCCTTCTGTTACTGACACACTTAAAGAAACCTTTCTTGTTATCCTCCATCTCCCTGGTCAGGTTTAATTCCAAGTGGGCCTTAGCCTTCCCTGTTACATATCTGATGGCCTCACAACCTTCCTATATTCCTTCCAAGGGCCCAGACCCCTTTTCCAAATTATAAATACTTTCTTTTTCCACTTGAGTTTTTCCACGAGCTCTTTGCTCATCCATGTGAGCCTTCTGCCACCTTTGCCTGACTGCTTACTCTTCAGACTGCATCAATCTTGACCTTGCAAGTGGTGCTTGAGTGTCAATCAAATCTCTTGTGTCCCTTACCTTCCAGTGCTTTAACCCATGGACATTCCATTCCAGGACAAACATTGATTTTCACAGAATCACAGAATTGTAGGGGTTGGAAGGGACCTCCAGAGATAATCGTGTCCAACCCCTTTAAGACAAACCATTCTGCATGATCCTTAACTTATGAGAACTGTTGTATTGGATCATCCACAATCATATTCTTTCCTCCTTTTCCTCCTGAGGAACAATCAGTTTGGAAAAAAAAAACCACCACTTTCCATACGCTTTCACTTAAAAGGATCAAACACTTAGTCTTCATAGCTCCTCTCCATTCTGTTTTTAAGCAGTGCTAGGCTTACCATCAGAACAGGGATGTTCAGAGGAATTAAGCAAGATTACAAATTCTGAAGGTAGTTTAAGAACTCATAACACAGAAAACTAGTATAAACTTGTCATTACCACCTTATGCATATATATATATACCAGAGCAGAACAAACCAGATTTTTGCTATGTGCTGACTATGAAGTGTTCCATCCTGGGGCTTTTGCATCCTGACAAGACATTCTGAATTAGCATCTGGTTAGTTTTAATCCTGACAGTGCAGTCAAAAGGGCATCATTAGCTCCATGGCAGGGAAGAAGATGGAGAGCTTAGGGAGGAAATCAAACCCTGAAGCAAAAACACATCCCTGTGGCCAGTCAGATCCAGTGACCAGCTGCTACTAAAATGTTGTGACAGAGCTGATGGTGGCCCAAAGTGTTTTCTGGGTGGAGAAGACTTGTTTTTGATAAGTCAGTCCAGAGATGGGCAGTCAAAGGATGACCTAGAGACATGTGGGTGTGAGAGTGCATATTGCACGGGCTTGGAAGCAGAGGCATCATGAAAATTGCAACCAAGATGGGGAAGGGTGATGGGTAATAAAGTGCACCAAAGTGACGAGACAATGACATTCTAAAGTAGGGAGGTTGTAGCACCTGTTGATGTTCTGGAAATGTGGAAGAGAGTGAGGGTATGCTCATGTCATACGGTGTCTCATTGCATCCCTGGGATCCACGTTTTGCAAGGTGAAAAATCACAGGAGAATCTCAGGGATACCCCTCAATTTTCCCTGGGCGATGGCAATCTTCTTCGGAAGAACATTGGAGAACAAATCTCAACTTCTGGCATTGCTTTGTGTTCTGGGCAGGAACATATGACTGTAGTGACAAACAGCATTTTTGGAACATATGGAACCTTGGACTCATACAGTATGAGTCCCTGTTCTTTGTCTTGCATCAGTACTTACCATGGAGGCTCCTATAGTGGAGGGTGGGCTGCAAAACTCCTTCTCAAGCCCTTATCTGAACAGTAGAACTTTCTTTCTGATCAACATCTGACCCCATGGAGCACTGTCTGTGTCCTCTTTCTGTTGACGCGTGTTTGATGCAACAGGGTTGGTCAAGAGCAAAGATGAATGCAGAAAAACAAACCCCACCCGTACATAAACACAAAAAGACACTTTAAAGCCCAAATACCCTAAGAAATTACACCAAAATAAAGAAACCAGTCTTGTATATGTATTTTTTAAAAAAGATACATCAATTTTAGTGTATTTTTTCAAGCTTGCTGGACATCGTACTGAAGCACTGTAAAGCTGTCAGAGAAATTATATACTTTTTTTTTCTGTTGTCAACCAAAGCGTGCTTTCATGGAGTCAATTAGCCACAGATTATGAACACACATCACTTGTCTGAGAATGAATTACAGTACACCCCAATAAACATACCCATCTTTGCTCACTGGTCATCCCCATGATGGGGATGGCATCAGATTTTCCTATCCAACCATAAAGGAAACTGCATGTTCGTGTTTCATCCTGCAAGTGTGCCTCTTTCAAATGCTGCAGTGCTACAGTGTGAGGGGAAAGAGGGTCATTGGTGTTACTGCTCTGGCGTGCAAACCTGGACATGAGCTCAGTGTGAAGACTGCATTTACACCGGTGGAAAAAGTTCGTATAAGCTGGGATGGCATGAGTGCTTGGATCTACAATGGAGCCTATAACTGCTGTTGTATCTGATAGAGAACTGCAGTCAGCATCATCTTTACATGGCATATTATGTGCTTTCCACCGACCTTAGAGCCCTTTTTGAAGGTGGAGAGCCACAGTCCTATTGAGATTTTTTTGTTCAGTTGGGGGGTTGCTTTTTCTTTCCTCTCTATTTTATTTTTTTTAATTGTTTTTTTTTTAACAGGTGGGGAAACTGAGGCACAGAAAGGTGGTGTGATTTGCCCACAGTTGGTGACAGACCTTGAAACCCCCAATCTCTCTCTCAGCTGCTCAACTCCCACCTGGGACATGGTGGAATGGCTGTTTGCTTGGTTCTCTTGGGGGAGAACTGCATCTCCTCCAGGAGAGAGGGGAAAAGTGTCACTCTCAGTGGCAATGTCTGGCAGTGGGCAACAGCACCCACGGTTTCTGCCACCCCAAGAGGCAGGAGAAGCAAGGAACCCGAAATGGAGGGGCAGGAGTTTGCTGGTCAGGCACTGAATTGGAGGACACAGCTCTACAGGATGCATTCGTGTCTCTCTGTGGCTTTCAGGGCCTCGTGCATGCTGGCGGCAGAAAGTCTCCTGTTGATATTCCTGTACCTGCACCTCAGAAGGTTCCAGAAGGTAGTCCTCAAGTCTCGGTTAAAGAAAGCATAAATTAAGGGATTGATGAGGGAGTTGGTGTATCCCAACCAGAGCAGAGTCCTCTCCAGCCTCAGGGGCAGGCAGCTGCAGTGTATACCACAGATAAAAGGCCGAGCCGTTGACATAAGGAAGAACGGCAGCCAACAAAATGTAAAAGCCCCCACGATTATACCAAGGGTCCTGGCTGCTTTTTGTTCCCGTTTGAAGATGGAAATATTCTTCCGGTCTTGCCGGAGCAGTTTGGAGAGAGTGGCACATTCCTCCACCGCCTTGGTGCGCTTGGAGCTGGGATGGCCGCGGCTGGAAGCCTCCAGGCAGTAGACACCCTCCTCTTCGTAGTGCTTGGAGAAGTTCATGAAGCGGTGCTTCTCAGCGCTCACCTTGGCAGCTTTGTAGATCCGGCTGTACATGACGAGCATGACCGCCATGGGGATGTAGAAGGCGACCCCTGTGGAATAGACCGTGTACCCAAAGTCCTGGCTGATCAGGCAGACTCTTTCCACGGTGACATTCTTAGCCCAGCCAAAAAGAGGAGGAAGCGTGATGGAGGCGGACAGGAGCCAAACGATGAAGACCATCTTGGCCATCAGCTTCCCGTTTTGTCTCACGGGATACGTCAGTGGCCGAGTGATCCCCAGGTACCTGGAAGAGGAAGAGTTGCAAAGCTCAGGAGGGTTTTGAGGCATAAATACTTCTTACAGAATCATAGAGTCCTTAGGGATGGAAGAGACCTCTAAGATCATCTAGTCCAACTGCTCCTCTGCCACCAGTATTACTCACTAAGCCGTGTCCCTGTGTATCACATCTACACATTTTGCTTAGTATTGGGTGATTTTCACTCCTAACTAGTGGTGAGGCCCTGGAGTTGCCCAAGGAGGCTGTGGATGCCTCATCCATGGAGGCATTCAAGGCCAGGCTGGATGTGGCTCTGGGCAGCCTGGTCTGCTGGTTGGTGACCCTGCACATAGCAGGGGGTTGAAACCAGGTGATCATTGTTGTCCTTTTCAACCCAGGCCATTCTGTGATTCTACGAACTTCAGCCCGGAAAGGGAATAAGAAATGAATTTCCCAAATGAAAACATTCCCAGGGATCTGCAGCATCTTCTGTGAAACTTATTTCATACTCCTTTAGCTCTCTTGCCTAAAAGCCCTGTTTCAACTATTCCCTGCTGCATTTTTTCAGACTCCCCATGCATGATACAAGAAGTCATTGAATTTATGAGCACAATCTGGGACCCGCATGGTTTCCTTGGGAATAAAAATAAAGCTTAGTTTTCCACCAGAGTTAGTTTGCACAGAGAACACGCAACGAATTCCAACAATAAGATGTACGCTCACAGAATGGTTTGAGTAGGAATGGACCTTTAAAGGCTATCTGGTCCCACTTTCCTGCAATGAACAGGGACACCCAAGGCTCCATCAGGTGCTCAAACCCTCATCCAACATGGCCTTGGGTATCTCCAAGGAGATGGGCTGTCCAATGAATGGAGGATCTTATAGGAGGCACCACAAGCATGCGGTGACCTGTGGGCACACGTGTTTTAGTGGCTGGAGTTCTGAGTTACCTTATTAGTGTACATCAACCATCAGCTCCCCTATCAGCAGCAACGCATGACTTTGAAACACCCCCAGTGACGAGGGGGTTTGTATGACTCAGAAATTTTGTCAACTGTTAGTTGGGAAATCGCAGTTGTACAAATGAGTGGGGAATCAGCCACTGTCAGCAAGGGTTCCCACTGGAAAACTTCTGCTTCCTATTCAGCCCCAGTGAGTGCAGCAAAACCCTCCAGCTGTCGTATGGATTTCTTCCACATTACAGCCAGTTTCGTACGAGCCCTGCCTGCTGTCAGGAATTTGCAGGCATTTTTAGGCAGGATGGAATCACCTCCTAATTGCCTTGGATAAACTGGGTCAGGCTGGAAAGAAAGTGAGAATGGCAGCTGTATGGGCAGCTTTTTGCTGAAAGCTTTCCCAGTGAAAAAAAAAAAAAAAAAAGCCTTTTTTTTTTTTTTTTTTTTTTTTTTTCCAAAAGGAGGATTTCTGTGGAGAATTATACCCTTGATGTTTCAGTTATTTCTCTCCAACACTCCAGCCACCTCACTGTAGGTGTTAGCAGGTTTTTCTTCCCTGATTCTTTTCCCTTCTCCAAATCCTCCACCAAGAGTGGAAAAAGACAGAAATAAAAAATAATCCAATTCTCCCTTCCTTCACCAGCACCAAATAAATTCTAAGCTGGAGTATTCTCCCCTGAATTCCAAATGAAATGAGTTCTACCTCACTGAATTACTCTTTACCTATTTTCCTCTGTATTTTCCTCAGCTGGCCTTAGTTGCAAAAAGCAAGGCAAACCTTACACAACCACCTACACTGCTGAGTGCCTCACACTCGCACAGGCTGGAGGATGGTGTTCGTAGGCACAAACTCAGTGCAGCCTCAAAGGAAAGCACTTCTAGCTCCATCACCCCATGAGAATGTCTGATCACTGCAGGGGAGTTGGACTCCATGACCTTTGAGGGTCCCCTCCAACTCAAACAATTCTATGATTCTATGCATTGAGATGAATGAGATCTGATGAGACAAAGATGGACAGTGGGACTGGTTTTGGTGCTGAGCTTCCAAACAAATTATCTTCTCCATCTTCCTGCCTGATCTGAGCTTGGTGAGAAGTGATGAGCTTAGATGGGAGATGAGGCTCCAATGGTGCTGAGTTAGGACAATAGGCTGAGAGGGAATGGCCTCAAGCTGCATCAAAGGGGGTTCGGTGTTGGATATTAGGAAGCATTCCTCCAAAGGAGTGGTGATGCACTGGCACAGGTTGCTCAGAGAGGTGGTGGGGTCACCATCCCTGGGGGCATTCAAGAACCACGGGGATGTAGCACTGAGAGCAGTGGCTGTGAGCATGGTGGGGTTGGACTTGTTGATCCCAGAGGACTTTTCCAGCCTAAATTATTCTACGATGCTAACAAACGTCCCTCCTGCTGTAGGAACCAGCTGCAGACTGGATATTTTTGGAGCTAGGGGAACACCATGCCCCGCTGCTGCATCCCCAAACACAGCATGGAAAAAATAATCACTCCTTCACATATCCAGGCCAAGAACTTTGCACGCTAATATGTGCTGCTCTGTGTGATATCCTTTGTTATGCTATTACCCAGTCTTCTTCAGAAGCTGATCCACTCGGGATTTGCTGAAACTTCAAGGAATTTACAGGCTAGCCAAGCAAATTCACAGTGACAAGATTAGAAAGGCAGGCAAAGCCAACACATCTCTACTGTGGGTGCCTCGTGCCATCTCTGCTGGAGGAAACGGGGCCATTCTGAAGTCTTTGCTGATGGCTGTGATGAGAGCGGGGAGAACTCAAAATAGGGCAGCATCTGCCACAGAGCAGAGACAGGCACTGAAATTCAGATCAAATTCCCTCGCTTTGATTCATTTTCGTGTGTGTGTCTGTGTTGCTGTTAATCATGTTTAGTGGTAACGAGGAATAGAGGGCAGTTCCCGCAACAGGGATTTCCTTGTGCTTTGTGTGACTTTGCTGTTCCATCAGTTGTTCCAGCCTCCTGGACCGGCCACTTCAGCACATTCATTCCGTGCACAATGACAGCTACTGGCTCCTTACATCAGGAATTAAATAATAAAGGGAAGGAAAACCTCCCCAGGGTGCCCCCTGTCTCCATGCTGCAGCAGCTGAACAAGAAGAGGAAAAATTGCACTCACTTGGGTCACCCAACAGGACAAGATGGAATCGTTTCAAGTTGTGCAAGGGGAGGTTCAGGTGGGATATTAGGAAACATTTATCCTCTGGAGGAGTGGCTGGGCACTGGCACAGCTGCCCAGGGAGTGTTGGGGTCATCATCCCTGGAGGTGTTCAGGAGGAGATGTGGCACTGAGGGACATAATCAGTGGGCATGGTGGGGGTGGGTTGGGGTTGGACTTGATTTTAGACTTCTTTTCCCACCTTAATGATTCTGTGATTTTAACTGAGCCCAAACGAGCCCAGAGTTGAGGTTTCTTGCAGCCTGCTGTTTTACCTGTGCATTCCTTGCGGCCAAATTCCAGCATGATGCTTTGCCTGCCCCATCCTGCTAAGGGAAAAGGGACCTCCAGGTGGAGGACAGCGGGCAGCTGGAGGTTGTGGCTTCATATATCCATCCCCAAAGCATCCCTGGGAGCTGCTCATCCTGCTGTAAATACACCACAAGGGTCTCCCTGGCCAGGGATACGTTCGGATGAAGCAACAGGAAAAGCAATCCAGCAAAATGCTGTGCAAGTTTCATCTCACCAACACTTTCATAGAATCATGAAGGTTGGGAAAGACCTTCGAGATCATTAAATCCGACCATGAACCATCATCTATGCTCACTAAACTTTCAGGAGGCATCCCTTCCATTGGGGACAATACCAACTTGGAGCTCATCATCCGATTTGGGGTAGAAAACACCAGGAACAAGGGAGAGCCCCACAAGGATTGCCTAGGAAATGGATGGAGATTTCATCCTCCATTCCTCCACCAGGAAAATATAAAGCATTTTGAGGGCCTTCGTTTATCCACAGCTTGGATTCTTTACAGAGAGCTTCATTTAACCTGAATATCCAAAAGGTTTTGGTTTGTTTTTTGTAATAACGAATCTATAGCTTTGGCAGGCATTTATATAAGAAAAACGTAGGGGAAAGATGGATGTTTCCAGCATTTTTCATTCTTGATTTAAAGGAAAATCAATCAAACGCCACTTCAGACAAGATTTATTCTACCAGCTTCAATCAGGAGGCTTTTAGAAAGCGCTCTGCACTAATAATCAATAATAGCAGCCTACATTTTAAAAGTAGCCATCATCTTGGACAAACCGAGCATCTTTTACATCTAAGCTAAGCAAGGAGTGAGGACACTTCAGCCATCAATAAAAAGGCAGAACCAGGCAGCTGCCCAGTGGTGCCGACCAATTCAGCATTCAGGAGAGCACCAGAGGAAGAATTCATGTACCCTAGGATGTGCCAAGGGAAGGATGCACAGGTGCTGTCCTTTCTTCTTGCAGGGCAGGAGGAGCAGCTTTGGGGAAAATTCCAGCAAACCCCTCACTGAACAGCACTTTCATCTCTTTTAGAGCAAGTATTGCAGGCTCTCTGCAAGCTTAGCAATCCTTTTGCTTCAGCTTTACATTAGCACAGAAAATGAAACGTGTGCTTTTGGAGATGTTTCTATCAGGGGTTAAGCCCCAAATCCCACCCATCCCAAGATCCTGGATCCACGCTCTCCCTCCATTCACCTCCATCAGGAGCCTGATGGGAATAGAGCAGATGAAGGCTTGATGAGGAGCAGTGGTGACTTAAAGGGTGGTTCATGTAGCCCATAGCCCTTTCCTTGGGATACTTGAGGGAGAAAGCAGTGGGATAGTGCCTCATTCTCTCCTCAGGGAATCAGAGAACATCCAAAATATTCCCCCTTCCTTGGGCATGGGATGGACTGAACCCAAGGTGAGCTTGGTCAAGAGGTTCACCCACCCATCCCTCTGCGTCAGTGGTCAGGCACTGGCACAGATGTTCCAGGGAGCGAGGAGCTTGGAAGCTGAATGAGATGGGTACAGGTAGACTGGCCCCATTCCTAGTCTCCTCTAGCCCAAATCCACATGCCCATTCCCATCTTCGTGATAAAGGGCAGATCAGTGTCATCCAGGACATTTGCTTGCACTGTGCCTGCCCGCATTGACAGTGGTATCGGGCTGGAGAGAAGTGGTTAACATGTGGGGGATGAGATGCAGTGATTTTCATATAGGGTCTGTTCTGTTTACTTGTGCGTTTGGGAGAGCGTTTGTGTGTAGGAGGGAAAGGGATAAAAAAGGAAGGGGAAAAAAGGAAGGGGAAGGAGAAAAGAAAGGGAAAAGGGAAATTTAGAAACTGAAGCCAATCTAGTTAATGTTCAGCTGCTGCTTCACTCCTCACGCATCAAGAAGAGAATTTCACCTATTACTGCATTTGATCTCACTGACACAGACACGCTTTCCTCCTGACTCTTCATACACCTGCTTTTCAGGAACAGCCTGTTTGTGAAAGACACCAGTTCAGCTGCAGAGCTGTGAGGTTGGTGGGGATTTTGCTTTCTGAGCAGCAGCACCCCGTGCACAGCAGCAGCTGGCAAAGGGCTCGGGGGCATGATGCTGCAGCAGCCAGCTTATGACTGACCCTCCTGCTTCGTCACCCACTGCCACACCTGGGTGAGCCACCAGGGAGCTGTGACAGTCACTGTGGCCAGGGAGCACATCTTGCCAACCCTGTCCCTTCTCAAGCTGCTTATCACAACCCAGCCTGGCTCAGCAGTGCCAGCACAAAACCAAATCACCCTTTCCAGAAAGCCAGCATGCGTTTCAGATCTGGATCCGTCCCACCAGCTCGTCAGCACAATGTCCCTAATGACGCAGGCTGCTATAATTAGACCCAGGGGGTGCTGGCTTGCCTGAGTTGCGTTGCTTTGCCAGACATGCTCAGCCTTTCCCTTTGCACTCCAGGTGTGGGAGCTCAAACCAGCAAGACCACACTGAAACATGCACTAGGCTACATCAGGGTTTTATGGAACTTGGGATGGGGTGGGGAGATGCCAGCAATCTTGGCCAAAGCACAGGTCCTGAGAGCAGCAGAGCATCCCATAGGGTTGGGCTACAGGATCTCCATAACCTGAATGGCTCTGAATCTGTACACTTCTTTGGTTGAATAATTTCATCAAGCTGGACTCCATGATCTTTGTGGGTCCTCACCTGTGCCCTCCAACTCAGGATATTCTATGATTCTAACTTTATGAACCAACCCCCTTCTATGGTGACACAGATAGACAAAGGTCTAGCGTCGGGGCTCTGTTCTGCAAACCAAGAAAGACCAGCATGCTGTCCAAAGGGTGAGGATGAAGCAAGTACTTTGAGAAGTTACTTGAGCTGCAAAGGGCACCTAATTCATACAGAAAACCCTCACTCATCCTGTGCTCTTGGAAAACACATGCAGCAGCACTGCAGAGAGAAGTTGTGGAAAACCCACCTCTGGAGGCATTCAAGGCCAATTTGGATGGGATCTTGAGATGTAGTGGTTGGCAGCCCTATCCACTGCAGGGGGGTTGGAGCTCAACAATCTTTAAGGTCCCCTCCAATCTAAGCCATTCCATGATTCTACGATCTTGATTCTGGTGGCCCTCAACCAACAGAAAATCCCCGTACCCAAGCACTCCGCTGCCCCGTTTCCCTTACCTGTCCACGCTGATGATGCACAGGGTCATGATGGAGGCAGTGCAGCACATGACATCCATGGCGATGAACACGTTGCAAAACACCTTCCCAAAGAGCCACTCTCCCCCCACCAGGTCCGTGATGGTCACAAAGGGCATGACAGCGAAGGCCACCGAAAGGTCAGCGGCAGCGAGGGACACCACCAGGTAGTTGGATGGCTGCCGGAGCTTCTTGACAATGCAGACAGAGATGATGACCAGACCGTTGCCTGCGATGGTCATGAGGATGATGATGGAGAGCACAGCTCCAATGACGATCTTCTCAGTGTCCCCATAGAGCAGGATCTCCTCGCCGCAGTCCGTCGCGTTGGTGTGGTTGGAGGAAGGCAGGTCTGGCTCGGCAGGGACGGAGGGTTCCTCAGTCATGAATGGATTCGGGAGCGACTCCCGAGCTGGGTACTGCTGCTCTGCGTTCTCCACAAAGAGAAGATGGTGCTCCAGAAACCGCCGGGGGCTGCCCCTCAGCAACATGCTCTGAGCTCTCCGCAGTGGGCAATGGCACAGGCTTTCTCCCAGCAGTGATACCTCCAGTGGCAAAGCAGAACATTTTTATCACATGCAGGCTAAGAAAATAAAATATCACCTTCCAGCCCTACCTCTTGCCTCTCGGAGCTGCAGATGGAGCTCATGTGCTCAACGAGGAGCTGTTTCCCAAGTCTGCCTAAAGACGCACAGTTTGCTGGATCTGGAGGATGCTTGGAGGAAGCTTGCTCCACTTCTGAAGGAGCACAAGCTGCCCACTCTTCCCGCAGCAGCTACCTAATTGCCTACATGCTTTTCCAGCAGCACAGATAGCAGCAGCTGATTGCAATTGCTCATGGCACTAAGCACTGCTGCCAAGCCGCGCTGCTGGGCTCGCACTTCCCATGCACATCCGTGTGCCCTGCACATACCATAAGTGAATGCAAGAGAGTGGGTGACAACACAACCCTCAGCCCCAGAAGGATGCCCATGCACCACCAGCTGCATCTCCTGCGTGTGTCAGTGCACAAACTTCACCCTACAAATCCATGCAGTGTCAACACGGCGACTGCACACACTGAGCCGCATCGGGAACACACACAGCATCGCTGCCACCGGTACAGGCAAAGGGAGGGCTGGGGCATCTCTGAGCTGTGGGGTCCTCGATGTGCACAAGCAGCAGCAGTTCTCCCAGCCATAACATTCATCCCCTGCAAATATTTCCCCACCACCGATGGGGAAACTTTGGGGCGAGGCTCACCCTAAGCAGAGCTCTGAGCATCGCGCACGCCCTGCATCCTCCCTCTTTCTGCTTTCCCCTTGAAAGGAGTTCTATTTAAACCCAAGGAATCCCGCAGACCCCTCTCTTCCCCTTTTTGCATTCTACCCCCAGGGGGTGACGAGGATCCCGTCTTACCTGTGCCGAAGGGGTGAGACATCCTCCAGTCGAACCCCGCGATCTCCGGGCAGGAGAGGAGCCGAGAGCCCCCGGAGCATCATCCTCTCTCCCCTCCCCGGTCCCTCCCACCGCCTCCCTCCCGCCTCTCCCAACAGCTCTGCCTGAGCCCCAGGAAGAGCAAGGAGAGCACAGAGTTATAAGGGGCACAAAAGCAACGGCTGACACTGAATCAAGCCCTACCAGTGGAAAAGCTGGGGGGCACAGCTGGAAGTCGAGCAGCCATCCCTGAGCGCGGTGCTTTGGGTGCAACACAGCTCTGGGGCTGTGCAGGACCATCAGCATCCTTCCCCACTTCTTTTTGCTGAAAGGAATTTTGCAGGGAGGGATTTCTCTCCCTCTTCCATGCCGTTCTTCTTTTCTTCCTTATCCCCCTCCCCACTCCCTGCCAGTAGGAGGTCCCATATTCATACAGCTTTATGCTAAAGAGATGAGAACAGCTCAGGCTGAGCCTTCTGCTAAGGAAATGGAAACAGAGGAAAACCCAACCTAGCAGGAGCATGCAACCACTTCCATGGGTTGAGCCTGGGAGCACTGGGCACTTTGTGGAGAGCACACTTGGGGAATACAATGGGCACCTCTTAGCATCTTCTCTTTGCCCAGCCCAGCCCTATGCAAGCTCTCCCAGTGTGCAGCACCTGTGCACTGATCACGGGGAAAAGCAGCTTTAACCCAAGGTGCTGCACATTGTGATACCTCAGGTCATTGCCAGACGTTCCCTTCAAAGTGCATCTGAGAATGAAGTTGCATTGAGCTGAACTGGGGCTCAGGCTGAGCTTACCACTTGTGTTTCTCCTTCACTGTGTGTGTGGGAGGATGGCTAAAATAACTGCCTTGCCAGGGCAGGCTGTGCTGAAGCGATGGCTCTTTTGCTTATTGAAGTAGAGGTTGCTGCAGCCAGGCGTTAGGATGGGATGGGGTTGATCCCAAAATTTCTTCTCTGAAAGAGCCCTTCCTGGAGAAAAATCCAAGGGTTTCAAAGAAGCAAGTCCAGGCCTTGGTAGGGGGCTTGGAACTAGATGATCTTTGAGGTCCCTTCCAACCCAAGCCAGTCTATGATTTGGCTTCTCTGTGCTTGGAAGGGTCTGTAGTAGAATATCACCCTCACACCCCTTGGCAATGGTTGACACCAAGCCCTTCAAGGTGAATGAATTGCAACAAAATCCACTTTTTGACCTTCTGGGAGGGAAACCTGCAGCAGGGGAACGTCTCTGTACAGCACCACAAAGCACGCTGGCTTTCCCCTTCCAGCAAACAAGAGATGAACCGAGCGCCCCAATCTCTGCCCATCTGTGTTCTTTCATCTTCACCAGTGGCCACTGAAGCAGCTATTTTAATAACTATTAATTGTCAACATTAATCTCTATTATCACTAATGATGAGGTAAAAGTTATTAATATGCAAATTCTGAGAAATCTCATTAACTCCAAGGTCTTTGAGCTCCCAAAGTTTGTGGGATTAGCATCCCAAATTAGGCTTTCCCGCAATGCAGGTGTTGATATTTCTCCCTCTGAGGAGGCATAACCAATCCAGAGCAATAAAATTATTCACTTGGCCCTATCAGTTTTCAAGGAGCATCAGTAGGGACTGCTTTTGCTCCTAGGGAGTATCAAAACCTTCTTTGATTTGGAAACAGGGGAGCAGACAATAATCCGACCCCATGGTTCTTCACTGGTGGCTGAGGTCAGGAATGAGGTTGCCCGGAGTGTTTTAAGGATCTGTAAAGCTTCCAATGTCACCTCCTCCCCAGGGGTTCCTCCAAAAGACATCCCTGTCTCCTGATGGGTCTATAAGCTCAATTCCCAGAGGTTCCAGCAAACATCATCTGGGTGTTGTGGGTACCCAAGAGGTGGTTTAGGCCTCCAAGACACGGCAAAGCAAAATTAACCAGACACTTGAGTTGTCCAAGATGGCAGTGGAATACATCCTTCAAAAACCAACCTACAATGCTAAAAAGGGAAAAGAGTATTCAAAGAGTCCTAAATAGTCTACATCCTAAATGTGGATGTAGAAAGGGATCAATTTGGGTTGGACCGGGACAAGATTTCTTGACCCTCTTCCTCAGCATGAAGTCCTCAGCCCAGCCTAACATTCTCTACCCTCCCATTTCTTTGGCTTCCCCCTAGCAGCAATACAAGGCATTACCTTTCTACAGAATTAAGGTTGGAAAAGACCACTGAGATCATCAGAGCCAACCTTCAACCCATCACCACCACGCTCACAAACCCTCAGAAACTCATCCTCAGGGGAGGAGATGAAGACACAGTGATGGGACACTGCTCGAAGTGCCCCGTGGGGACTCAGGGTCTGGTCCCATAGTGTTGACAATGGTAGCCAAAGGATTTCAACAAGAGAATCCAGCTAGCAAAGAGCTTCCTGCATAAAATTCTCTTTCCATGTAAGGAAAAGCCAAAGGAGATTTAGGAAGTTCACAACCAATCTGTGATTTGAAGTTCTCAGAGCTAGGCTGTTGTGTTTTTTTTCCCCTCTCTTACTGGACATTTCCCCAAAATAGTCAGAAAAAAATAAGAAGTTTTTGTTACAAAGTGATGCCATGAATTGTGCTGCCAGAAGAGACGGGGAGCAACAGGGAGCCTTGTGGAAAACCACTGTCCCAAAGAGATGTGCAAACAGCTCGTCTCAGCCCAGAGAGGTGGAAGATGCCCCATCCCTGCAGACACCCAAGGTCATGTTGGATGGGGCTCTGAGCACTGATGAAGCTGTGGGTATCCCTGTTCACTGCAGGGAGTGGGACCAGATGGCCTTTAAGGGTCCCTTCCAACTCAAACACTATGATTCTATGAGATGGGCGTTACAGCATCAGGCATGGCCACACTCCCTCTGCTGGAGTCTGCACAGACAGCACTCAGCTTTCAGCATTCACGTTGCCAGAGATGTGCATGTTTTGAATAACCAGGAGAAATTACCATTGGGAGTTACCTGTGCACCCCAGTGCAGCCAACCCATGTGCTGGTGGCATCACAGGGTCTTCCTGATGACCTGGAGAGATGCAGGTGATAAGGATGAAGCAAAAGGATGCAGGATGGGGAGGAGAGGAGCCCCCAGCAGCACCTGGTGGTCTGCAGATCCAGGAGAGGAAAGAACTGCAAAACTTAAAGAGGAAAGGGTGAAAAAATGAGAGATTTAGTTGAAGTTTCTGATGCAAACCTCCAGCCACACAGTACACAGGCATAATCACTTAATTGCCAGCTTTTTTAGCAAGCTGCTATCATTACTGCCCAATCTTTACTCCAAGTGGTGGCCACATGTTGGATGTGCAGCATTTTCACCTACTGCTCTCCCATCCACCACCTCTGGGGTAGAGCCTGCCTTTAGATATCTGCAGTGACACATGGACTACTTTATTTTGGGGAGGGCATATGAAGAACATACCATCCCACCTCCATCCCATCCAAACGAGAGATGGAACAAAGCAGTTGATACAGAACATGGGTGGACTTGGTGATCTCGGGGGTCTTTTCCAACCTTAATATTCTATGACTGTCCTGGTCAACCCTCTTCTAGATCTCAGCTGGATACAGACCTCTAGAGAACAGCAGGGAGGTTCCTCTAGGATGCCCCCACCAGATGGGACCAAAGCAATGGGGACCAACGTGGTGGTGGGCTGAGGACCTTTGGAGGTGGCAGATGCTTTTGGGTCGGGGAGCAAACAGCATTGGTTTGGAAATAAAACCCTCCTTGTCTTCTTTGGTCTGTCCCCTAGATGGCACCTGCTCTCAGCAGATTAAATCCCTGATGGAAAGCAGTAGGAAGAGATACGTTAAAAACAAAACACCCCTAGAAACCTAAACAACAAAACCGAGAAAAGCAAAGAAAGAAAACCCCAAACATCAAATGTATATATTTTGATCAATGTATATATATTAAACAAAACCTAGAATTTATAGCTGTTTCATCATTTCTGCTGCTTTTTCCTCTCTGGGTATTCAGTTCTCTCCTCAAAACACCACTGGGAGAAGGTTACTGGCCTCACCCCAGCTGCTTTCTGCAGCAGTGAGGGGACATCTGGGGGCAAGAAAGGCCACCATCAGATCTCAGCACCTCCATGAACACTTCATCCTTATCGTTTTGGCTGAAGGATGAGAACCCCCACTCCTGCACAGCAGCCATCAGTGTGTCCTGGTGAGGAAGGGAGGATGAGGTGCAGGGAACACGTCCCCATCTGACCCCTTCCATCCCGAGCACTGAATGGTGCTGACATTCAGGCTGACTATTCTTAGATCTGCTTTGAACAGGGCACTTGGCACCTCAGAGGGTTATGGCCCTGCCAGGCTGATGCCCAACAGCCACAGCCTCATGTGATGACAGCCAGAAGGCGAGATGTCCTGCCCACCCCTTATCAGCTCCTCATGTATTTAAAGTCCTGCTGTAACATCAAGAACATCATTGCACTGCTTCGGCAGTTTTGCAGCCTTCCCAGTTCACCCCTGCACCCAGAATGGACCTGAGGGATGTCCTGGTTGAGGCCCTGTCCTGTGGGCTGAGGACGGAGACCACAGGGGAGGCACAGGTTTCCCTCTGGAGCTGTTGGATTCACAAACTGACGCACGAAGGTCTGCGTAGCAGCTGGCTTCTCCTTCCCTAGGGAGCCCATCTGCTCTTGGTTAGCTCATTCATCCCTTCCCAGCCATCACTGCAGCCTCACACATGGAAGAACATCGTGCTGAACCACTGGAATCATCCAGAGCATTTGGCTTTGACAACCCAGCATCCAGCTCTGCACCCTCACTCACCTCAGACCAGGACTTCCAGACTTACTTACTACCATTGCTTACCATTGTAGGAATGCCTGCTTTCATAGAATCATTAAGCTTGGAAAAGAAAAAAATCAAGTCCAGCTGTCAATACATCAGCACCATACCATCAGCCCTGTCAGGCTGGATGGAGCTCTGAGCACCTGATGGAGCTGTGGATGTCCCTGTTCATTGCAGAGAAGGACCAGGTGGCCTTAGAGCATCCCTAACTCAAACCATTCCGTGAGTCAATTCTGCATGTCCAGGACAGGCCAGTAAGAACATGTTCTGGCTTTCCAGTCATCTTGCTAGAAGAAGATAGCAGGCAGCTTCGTACTGAGCACAAAACCCATCAGGGCCTCAAAATTTGGTGCTGTTCTCACTCTGAGCAATGAAAAATCACCACAACTGTCTCTGGGATCCTTACAGTAGGGCAGAGCATGCCTCAGAATCACTTCTGAGGAATCTTATCATTACTAAGTTCTCAGCTGTGAGGGTCACACAATGCTGAGGAGTCCTTGGGAGGAGCTCTCAGCTGCCTTCCAGGTATCAGAGCAGTGTGCAGTGCTCAGCTCTGAGCACCGAGATCTTGCTTTCTGAAGGATGATTCACTTGCTGAGTACAGGTAGTTGGAAATCACCTCTCACTCCTTCCTCCCCAAACCCACAGCCTGTCCACGTGCATATGTAAGTTATTTCAAAGAGTCAGCAACATCAGCTGTAGGGCAGCTCATGCTGACAGAGGGAAGAATTGATCCTCTGGCCAGAGACCTGTGAAGATGCAGAACCTTCCTCCTTGCAGAGGATGCCACCATGCTCGTGCTGTCCTAGCTTTGCCTCAATCTCATGCCCACGTCTGCAGTGCAAGACTCTTGAGGACCCTGGTAAACTACAGGGAACTGGAGAGAAACTGTTCAAGCTTGGGTACCATGTAGATAACTAGTGACATCATTTCCAGGAAACACAGCTCATCCTCAGGCTCCCACAGTGCACTACCTCACTAATTTGGGGCTCGTCTCCATGTTGGGCAATGCCAACACAGTCAGAGCCATAAAGGCAACGGTAACCAGCCTTGACTGTCTCAGTGCACTGCATCAGCTGAAAGGTGCAATTATTTCTTGTTCTTCTCCATTAACCATAGCATATCTCATGTTGGAAAAGACCCATGAAGGATCACCACATCCAACACCTGGCTCCAAGCAGGACCACCCAAAAAACAGACCATAAGACACAAAGCAATCCCATTGTGTCTGCCCAGACTCCTGCCTACAAGATAACGCGTCTATTTACTGTCACAGTTGAGATGCTCAAATACTGCAAGCATTGGGGATTACAGAATTAATCTCAGCTACAGGGATACCCACAAATAACCAAAGAAATGCATACATCTGTGCTGGGACAAAGACCCAAGCTGTGCTGGGAGCTGAAGGTTAAATAAAGGACACCGATTAGGCATGAAGTAGAAATATATAAACAGTATATTTCTTTTTATTTTGCTTTTAAATACAATTTCCTTACACAATAAAGGAATCCCCTTTCCCTCCCCCTCCCCACGTCCCAAAGCAACTCTTATCAAAAGAAATCACCCACTGTAAAATCAACACTAGATAGAGGCATGCGCTTTGAGAGCATATTTAGCAAGTGCAACATCTATAGGTCCTATCTCCATAAATAGGAACGTGTGCTTTCCCTCACAATAGTTCCCCAGCAACCTGGGGAACAAACTTCCCAGACACCAAACCCAGAGATGTTTAACCAGCTATGTGCCATGCAGCAGAAGTGGCACCGAGGGAGGCGGTCAGTGGGGTTTGGGAATCTTTGAGGTCTTTTCCAACCTTAATGATTTTGAGAGCAGAATGGGGGAAAATGAGGAAGCATTTGAGATGCAGCCCCCTTCTCAGGTGGAACCAAGGGTTTGGTTTGCACTCATGTAGAACCACACATTTTGGGAGGGAAGGTTGCTGGGTGTCTTACTTTAAGACAAGCCCTGCTTTTAAGGGTAATTCCTGTGCGCAGAAAAGGCACAGCCCCACATATCGTTGAAGAGGATGGAGGAAAACAGAGACTAAACAATTCTGAAAGTAACAGAGCACAAAGGCATCTGACTCACTGAATCAGAGCAGCTCCACCAAATGCACGAGGCTGAGATCCTGCAGGGGTCAACAGCACGATGGGTTTCTCACTCTCCGGCAGCTGCATCATGCTTTCTCCCACCCTAGGATGGGAATGCCGTGGTCCCACATTGGAGAAGTTCAGAAAGACATGACGACACATTAATAAAAGAAAAATGAAATGGAAAGGTGGCCAAACTGCTCCTAAAGGTAAGCAGTTCACGGAGGAAGGGCACGCTGAGTTGCTCAGATGTCCACACCAAGGGCTGCACACTTTGCTCCATTGGGCAGGACCAGCATGGCCATGTTATACCACCACTGCCTACATGGACAGTGGCAGAAACTGCCCAAGTCATCCAACCTGGTGAAATCGATGTAAATTTGATGCTGAAACAGCGATTGTTGCTGATAGGCACGGTGACAGCTGATCACAGCCACCAGCGAGCTGCCGAGCGCTGAAACCAATACCCCAGCTGCTAAATTTGATACACTGCTTTTCAAAGCCCAGATCACGTAGCTCCACTACTGCCACAGCCCTTCTGTTTTGACGTGTGAGAAGCAAAAATTCAGTGGAGCTCAGAGGTTCAGAAGGAGAGAATTGCCAACTATTTTTTTCCAACTCTTTGCCATTTTGTTCACTTTGAGACTCCCACCTGGGGCAAAGCAAGGGATGCTGATGGCCTTTGTGTAGCAGCAAGAAGCGTCACATGGAGGACAGAGATGCCACACGCATCCCCTCCTCCTGCAAGCAGATCTTTGCAGCACAGATGCAGATGGGGAGCAGAAGGCAGCACGTCCCTTGGGACAAGCTCTTAATATTAAACACTGCATCAGAACTGTGCCAAGTGATCCGAGCTCATGCAGAGTTTTCTACAAGGGAGAGAGTCACAGCCAAGGATTGTCTTTGCTTGGAAGGAAAACACACAAAAGCTGAAAAGGAAAGTGCTAATTTGTAGTTCTTAAGCATGTGCTCAGGCAGCTCCCTTGTATGTCTGCTCCTTACACCATATTGATGGCTTGCTCTTTGCAACTAGAGCCAGAGCCAGTAGTACAATGGTCAGGGTTGGCATTTAAATTCCTTAATTAGATATGAAAACAATTAGAGAAGGTTATTCTCTTCTAACATCCACAGGCTGCAGCACAGATAGAAAACTGGGCAAACCCCTCCCATACTGCCTATTTAAATAGTTTTGGAAGCACGACAGATGAAAAAGATGACAGCCCGACTGGAACACTGTGCCATAAAGTAATCAACTAAAGAGATGCAGAAGACAGAGCAACAGCAGGACAATTACAAATCCTTCCTAATTGCCCATTATGGCAGAGCGAGCCCCAAGGGAGCAGCCGCTGCCACGCTGCTGCTCAAACACAGGCTCGTGTTCTCCAGAGAAAAATACCCACTCAGCATTTCGTCAGCATTCCTGCAGTTGGGGATGCCAGAGAGCTTCCCAGGAGAGAGCTGGAGAAGATGAGATCTATGTCAGGAGATGGCATCAGAAGCAGTGAAAACACTGAAGTTTCAGAGGAACGCACAAACATTTGAGCCAACTCTCATTTTTTCCCTGTTAGGCCATTTTGGTGATAACATACCAGAGGACAAATACAGAAAACAGTGGATAAGATTAAGGATAAACGTGAGCACGCCCCAACCGATGGGGCAGATCCTAGTCTGTGACCCATTAAGTGTCCAAGTGGAAGGAGCTCCAGGTGACACAACATGTCTCAGGTTCTCCTCCAGCATCTTCTGCAAGCGTTACCCAAAGTGGACCAACTTCATGTATTTTTCTGTTGTCGTTTTGCTTCTGTCCACAAAGAAGGTCCAGAAAAAACACAGTTCAGCAGCAGTTTCTGAAGCAGACAAATACAACATGCAACAGTTTACGAACTGTTTCAGTCTTGGGGATGGGGGAACCTTTGAAGGACAATTATTTGAACCACAGCATGTGGGTGCGATCGTCTACCGTATTTGTTTTTTGGAGCATCCCAGTTCACACAGGTCATCCGGAAGCATGCATCACATCTCACAGCTGTTGGATTCATCTTGAAACACTTCACCAGGTGGTACAAACTAGTTGAGTTTGTTTTCTCCACTCCTATCCTTCCTCAGTGATGCCTTGACGTATCACCCAACTCCAGTTTGACATTTATTAATAGCTTCAGATGTTGATGCCAGAGAACGCGGGGGGTTGTTGTTAGTGATGTTGCCAGTCTTGCTTTCTAAGCAATCCAGAAAGTGCTATATTGCCTGTTCAGCAGTCCATGTTTCAACAACTGCCCTTCATTTACATGGAGAAACAACTATTTCCATACATTAGAGCGTCAACATCATCTTTGAAGGCAATAAAACGAGTCTCAGACCAACAAAGCTATTCAGGTACAAATCCAATTTTAATTATCAAGCTAATTTCTAGCTCCTACATTCAGTGCAAGGATCAAAAACTACAAATTCGAGAGTAGAAATTTATTCTATTCTCAGTTTCCAATTGCTTTGGCAACTGTCAGAAGACAACTCCCAAAATGCATTTATTTCAGAAGCATTCTGCGACCTCTGTGGTTCCAGGTGAGCATCACGAACTCTCAAAAGCTACCAACATCCTTCAAAACCCAACTCTTTGGCAACAGTTACACATAGCATTGTGCGTATATAAAGAGCTTATAATAAAACTTCTTTTACATTCTAATTGTCTTAACCTTCACAGAAGTATTAAAGTGCTCGATCAACTCTGAACAGTCCCTCCTTCCCTAGTAAGCCTACTTCCTGGAGATGCCTGCCTACACTTACATCAGCAAAACCAGAAGCAAACAAGAGAAAAGGTACTTGTAGAAGGAAAATCCTCTGCAGGACCATTGCAACTCCTCAACAGCCACGAGGCCTTGGTAGTCTTACATCTCTCTGCTACCCACATCTTTAGACACGGGTCCGAAATATTCACACAGGCTAAACCAGCCCCCCATCACTTGATTCTTTGGCCCCACGCATTCTGTAGAAAGAAAACTTTGCAAAACAGAATCCTAGGGATGCTACTGAGAAAAAACAAACACTGAAGTCATACTGGCAAAGCAACAGCAATGAATCCCCAACCCAATAATTGTGATGGCTATTTAATTCCCCCCAGTTATCTGGATTTTAAGAGACCTTCAACTAAGTTTGACTCAAACTGACGTTTTCAAATTGAGACTTTTTTGGTCCTTGTGAGCAGAGACTTGGAGGGCGCATCTCAAAATTAATTCTTCTTGCAACACTTGCATCAGCTACTCTGCACTAGAGGAGATTTCATCCAGGGCCTCGGAGAGGACCAGAGGTTCATCCCAGCAAGCACATTGTCTCCTCCTTCCAGCCACAGCACCCACAATACAGTTCAAACTACCCTGCAGGATGACTTCTCTCAGCCAAGAGCTGAGACACCAGCAATGTACTCCCAAGACAGGTAGTAGTTTACTTGACCATAAGTTAACACTTCTCATTCTAGTTCTGGTTAAATGTGACGTACCCAACACACAAGCTTTGTCAGGCCTGTGCAATTGCTCTTTCATCTAAGTACTTAATTGTTTGCTGTCATCTTTTTCTGTTGACTGGAGATCAGAGATGCTTTTACCGCCTCCACCCAGTCCCCAAAATCCCGTTTGCTGATTGCTCACCTTCTCTTTCTACATGTGGACCTTGGTAATAGCCATCAGCAATTTCACCACAAAAATGACTCAAAGCCCAGAAAACATTGATGAAGGCAGTCAGAAGCCATGCACAGATTTGCATTCCGTATCACACCACTGGTCAGACATCACATGAGTTACCCCTGCTGCCTTCAGGACCAACTGAAAGCCCAATGTGTGACATTTACCTGCTTTCATCTGCTGGAGTGTTACCTTGACCTGCAGCCTTCTCAGCATTCACACGAGAATGGGCTATGACATGAAGGCCTTGCTGCTGCTTGGCTTGCTATGAAAGCTGACAGCTTTCCCTGTGTTAGCTCTGGGATGCAGTGACCATGCCCACAAGGGAGCACATTTAACACTCTCTTTCATTAAGACGAAGAGATTCCACAAGAAAATAAACCTTTTCACACACGTGTGAAAACCATAGGTGACTGCATCAAGATGAAATACCACCTGATATTTAGCACAGAGACAACAAATCATCAGCGGCTCGAGTCTGTTCATATGCTGAGAAATTTTCTCTGCAGCTCTCCTACCTCTCATTACAAAGTTGGCCTTCCTCATCGTGCAGAGAAACACCCAACCTGTAGGGAACCGAGCAAGCAAGCAACATTTCTCTCTGCTAATTTACAAAACAATTTCCCCTTTTCTCATTTTTTGCTGTTTTGAAAGTTTGTCATCATCAGGACTCCACTTTGCTTGAAGTTTTGCCTGCAATCTGCAGCGTGCAGCAACGGGCAGGCATTGACATAAAGGGCAGCTGGTTTCACAGTACTTCAAATAAGAAAACTGACCACTGTACAAGCAAAATTAAATAAACTGAAATATAAAAGACTGCAGAAGTTAGATTCATCCAGAAATATAATATAATGTCTGGGAGCAGGGGAAAAAACTGGAGATTAGTCACAGAACAGAAACAATGAAATGAGCAACAAATATTGATTAGGCAAAGGAGGAGAACTTTCATTGCATGCTGTACATTAAAATTAAATGCAAAATTCACATATCAGACCACCAAGACAGAACGATGAAGGTCTCAAGCCATGGGATGAGGAAAGTAAAGAAACATCTTGAATAAAGAATCATGGAAAAATAATAGTAAACAAGCAGCTTCAGAAGAAAAAAAAACAAGGGACCATACAACAAATGAGAAAAAGCAGCACTAAAGCAGAGAACAAGTATATGGTCAAGACACCACAGGTAACACTGATTGCACAAAACACTTCTGATATTTTGAAAGAACCAGGCCTATTTGAATATCTATGCAAAATATATACACAAATCCATATGTATATATGTACACAGAGGCACTACTGTACATATGTATATGCAATCATTAACACAACTGCCCTTCGACAAGTTTCAGCATCTGACTCTGGGTGCAAGCAAGGACGTTGCAGTTGTGCAAAACTACACTTCTGTGTTTGATTACCAAGTGGTAAAATCAGAAAGAGCCAAAATAATTCAGACCCAGATGCAGTTCCACCAACATCACCACGTGAGCCCAATTTCTGAATGCTTCCAGGTCATCTGTGGGAATTAAATACTCATCCAAAGCTGTGGGTTGCATCAGTACAAACTAACTTGTTTCCAACCCTTCTGCCAATGAGTCTGAAGAGACAGTCAGACATTTCCCCTGACAACAGTTTGCTATGAGGCCATCCCACCTAGGATACCAATTTAGGAATGCTGGATTAATAGGAAATGGAATTCAAAGGCCAAACTAAATAGGACTGTCATTCTGTAAAAGGGTCAGCTGTTGTCCTTACAGTGCTTTGGAAAAAAGGGACGTGATGCATACAAAAGGGATTTTCCCCCACCCCTCAAACAAGGGTACACACAACAACTCTGAATGCATGCTCCAACTGTATGGCATGCTGTTTTTCCAGGGTTTCCAGTTTTGGGATGAGAAAGGTGGCATTTCCATCGAGCTCGCTTGCCTCACAGCTCCAAAGATCACTGGCCTCCCAAGTCCATGGCTGTTTTGGTCTGACACTTCAATGCTCAATTGGTCTTTGATATGTGCATTACCAATGCCATATTAGAGCAGAAAGAAAGTGGTGAAAGAAAGAACTGCAGATAGACTGTCCTATGCCTTGGCAGAGACGCCCCATCCTTCCAACTCCAAGAGAGCCATCCTCACAGCTCCGCATGCAGCAGATCTTGTTTAGTGCTCTGCATCCATAGCATCCAAGTACTTGGCTTCAATGATTCTAGGGAGCAGGTTATACCTAAGAACAAACCAGAGAGAGTGCATTAGAAACTGCTCAATTCAAGTGTTTTGTTTGCCAAGTCTGATTTTCATTTGCCTGCAGACACACTCATGTTTTGTGCTGGGGAGGCAAGCAATAGCTTCCTGCTGTCCCCAGCTTGCTAGTGGATGGATTACTTGTCCACAAGTCACAATTTATATCCTACTCCTATTTTCTTAAGCACTCTCCCTACAGTTTTCCAGCACACAAACCATACCTGATGCAGCCTTGCATCCAGTACAACACTTTGAACAGCAAGCATTGAGGGTTCACAGGAGAAACCCTTCCCAAAATTTCAGGCCTGGCACAAGCTTTAGGATGCAAGGGTATTTATCTTGCATTTCCTCAGTCCTCCAAGTATATCAGGTCACTCTTTCCAGCTCTCCCCACGAGGAAGTTTTAATGGGAACCCAGCAGCTTCAGACAGTCTTTTAATAAGCACAGAATACATCAAGACTTGAGATCAAGAAGTTGAGCAGGGCAGTGACATTCCAGCTGCTGGTAAGGCTCCATGCCTACCCAGCCCTCAGCATCCATTTGATCATGGAGGTAGTGATGCCTCTATTCCCTTGCTTTCCTCTATTCTGGGGGGTTGTTTGTTTTTTGTTTTGGTGTTTCATTTTTGTTTTTGTGTTTTTTTGTTATTTTCTTCCTCCCCACAAACACCTTCATCAATTAATGTATTTGGGTGAGAAAAGAAGAAGAACATGGTAGAAAGCTGCTCTCATCAGATCCCACTGCATATTTGTAGTTTGACACTTTTCTTGTTTATGAAGGAAGCAATTCAGCTGTTCTAACAGTGTACAGTGCTAGAAAGCCTGTTTACAACCTGAAGGGTCTTTTCAAAGAGCCAGAAAAGAGATCCCAAACAGCACTTGCTGCTGAGAAATGCCCCACCTGCTTAAACTGACCTGCCATGAAGTAAAATGCTTGAAAGCTGTGAAAGCACAGAAACAGAATGTAGAAAGATTCTTCCTCTCTGAGCAACTTTAAGTATGTCCCAGGGCAGGGATAGGAGTGTAACAAAAAACACTAGACACCCCCCAGTTTTGGCTCAACACTTGGAATCGGGCACACACACACAAAAAAAATATCATTTTCTCCCAACAGACCACTCCACTGCAATAGTAAGTCACTGAAATCAGTTAGTTTTCAACACTGACACTGGAAAAATATTGGACCCAGTAAATGACAATGCAAAGCACGTGTTTAATGCAGTTGGAAGGAAGGGAATGCAGCCTTGAGACAAGCAAACCATATGGCAAGTTTTCTGGATGGGACACCGAGCTGTGACTCATTCAGCTGGGTTTGATTCTCGACTCTGACCCCTGGCTATTCTCTTCTTCCTCCCTCTGCTTCTTTAAAAAAGCATTTCTTTTCTGCCTCATCTATTTAGAGCACCAGATCTCCATGAGAAAGTCATTATTTGCTACAGAGCTATGCATCATGGTGCAGCCTTCTCAGCTGGAGCCCACAGACATTGCATGAACGCAATGTGGAATTCAGAAGGAAGGAAGGAAGCAGAGGGCAGCTTTCCGTTCCAGGTACTACCATTTTCCCCTTAGCAGCAGGGCCAATTACAAAGGCTATTTGAAAAGCTGCTCTGGCAAGAGAAACAACTTAGCAGATATAGCATAAGACGACAGTGCCTTATTTAGTCAAAGAAAACACGTATTTGCACCATTAAATTACCCAGCTTTTTGAGAAATTCAGGTTCTCTAACACAGCATTCTCCACAGTAATTTACCTTATAACAATTTATATTAACTGAATATTTATACCTGCCCAGAGATTGTGAATACCCCATGCTTAGAGGTGTTCAAGGCCAGGTTGGATGGGGCCCTGGGCAGCCTGGGCTGGTATTAAACGTGGAGGTTGGTGGTGGCCCTGCCTGTAGCAGGGGTTAGAGATTCATGATCCTTGAGGTCCCTCTTCCAACCCGAGCCATTCTATGGTATTGTGACTTAAGTAAGAATGCCCTGAATTTTCTTTCCTGTACTGAGATACTCTGCAGAGGCTTGCAATTCCCACAAGAATCCATCATCCACAAACTATTTGCCAGCCATTTAACCAGGCATCCCTAGAGCCATCTACCTGAATGGTGGGAGAGCATCTCCTACCAGAAGAGCAATCATTTCAGTGCTCTCTACTGGCTGGTTCATCTTCAAACACCCAGCCCAAATAGCTCTATAACTGGGATCCTGCTGAAAGCCATGGCAGCTGACATTTGCTTTTGTTTTGAAAAGAACTGAACCCAGCTTTACCAGCCAAGGGGATTGCCACCACAATAGCTGCTTTTGCAGATTATCACATCGGGAGCACTGAGCTTCCATATCAGATGCAAAACCTCCAGCACTGCAAGCTCAAAGAGAACTAGATATCCCTGGATGCCATACAGGCCTAAAAATAATCAAATGGACTGGAAAGAGATATGTTCTAAGATCTTATTAAGGCTTCTCATTACAGCCTAAGAATGGAGAAGAAAGCATGATTTAACTGAAGACTGATGGACAGACACTGTTTAAAGAACATTAGGAAAACATTAAACTTCAGTGATTCTCTTTCAGGGGTTGGACACGATGATCATTAAGGGTCTCTTCTAACTCAGGATATTCTGTCTCTGAATGAGGATTGCAAGATATTGTGGGGTTCCTGTAGTTTTATGTTAGATGCATTTTGAAGATTTCAGGTGGTCTGTCCGAGCTGATTACTTACAATGGCACTCAGCAACACAGGTGGTCTGTAAGGTCACTGCATCCCAGCACTATATAAAAGATAAGGACTCCTTCCTCTTTACATTCATGTGGTGCAAAAGAAAGTTTCCAGCTCTGCCCTGACTGCAGGCTTTGGGGAATCAGAATGCAAAGCAAGATGGAGCATCCTCAATACCAAGAGGAAAGGCTCAGATAACTGCAGCTACTCAGGAAGACGTGCTCACAGGCATTGCAAAGGGAGACCCAGGTGCCTCTTTGCCAGCTAAAAAGTGACAAACCAGACCACACCCCTTTGCATAACACTTTGTGTTATTAGAGTCAAAGGCTCTCTGTGCTATTCCTCCTCAAGCCATCATGTACTCAGGAGACCACTGTGTCTCCTCTTCAACCAGACAGGCTTCCAACAGCTGGAAGACAAAAAGCATTGGAGATAGGAAAAAATACAGCCAAGCTTTGCTGGGAGGAGTTTCTTACCTGATTGGGATCATTCCTATCATGATGAGTGGGAAGATCATCTTCATGTAGGGCAACGGTGACATGCCAAAACCACAGAGGATGAGGAGCTGCAGGACCTGCAAGCCTGTGAAATAGTGGATCTTTCTCTGGGGCACTCTGCGGATGTAATGAGTCGGAGGATAAGCAGTCTGGGAAGAGAAGAATGATGCCTGAGAAATGCAGCAACCTGGACTCGTGACTGCAGGACACAATGCAGGCTTCAGAACAAGGGTTTTAACAAACCTAGTTTACACCACGCTGTGCATTAACAGTCCTTAATGTGCTCAACAGCTGAACGTAGGATTTGTAGGGTTAAAGCATGCAACAACCTGACTGCATTGGCAACAACACACAGATGATGACTGGGCACAAGAAACCCGGGGGAGAAATAACACACAATGAAGACTGCCTCAGGGAGCATCTGGAGTGCAAGAAAATATCTTGATAAGTACAGTAATGAGATTCCCCTGAGTAGGATTATCAGGGCTTTGCAGCAACACATGAAGTGCCTGAGGGGGTGCACAGAGAGTGATGGGAAGCAGAAGTATTCATCCAGCAACCCCATCACTTGTTTCCACACCTGAAACCCAGCTCTTCATTATTACATAGCCTTTCTCCTGCTGATCAGACTATGCTTGCCCTGGTGGTCCCATTTTCCATCTGAACCTTGCTACGGGAACAGCAAGAGATGAGATTGTGGAGGTGCTGGAAGAGGCCAGCCTCCAACAGCCATGATTCTCCACTTACATGAACTACTCACTTTTGAGAAAGAGCAAAAAGTGACATTAATAGGCTAAATATCACTCGTGGTTTCTACTGACAGTGACTTGCTCATGTCTGAGTACAGGCTTTGACTCACTGTCTATACATCAATGAAGCGTATGAGCGACTGTCTGCTGGCACTGATACAGACTCAACGGATTCAGATTGTGCCATGACTCATTAAAAGGTTTCCAGAAAAGTGAGAGTTCCATATTTAACATTACTTTTTAATTTTCCAAGCTGAAGCTCGGAAAATTCCACAGAATTTGTATTAAAATCAGAAGTAATATTCCACAGCATCACTATTCAACCACATAACTATCCAATCTCCATTCAAAAAATCAACATGACAATGGTAATCTTTACCCCGATTTCACAGTCTTGATCTCTGATGTTACATCTCAGAGGTTAAGACAGATTAGCAGAAGCACCAGGCTTGCTAAGCCCTTGACCCATTACATAAGAGGTGAGCTGGAGACTCATTATTGCTCCCAGGTACTGCCCACAGTGCCAACGAGGGCCTTAATGCACTTGTCATACAGATGGCTTGAAAGTAGATTTCCAGATTTGTTTTCATCCCACATCAGAAGCATCTCAATAGCACAAGTCATTTCATTTTGAGTGTACGATCTCATGATACTTTGCACATTTGAGACAAAAGCATAAAATGAGGCAAAAGTGACCTTTTCTGAAGCTTTGTCGGCAAAACTGGAAGTCATCATCGTAGATTTGTTTCTTTTTTCCTAACTATTCTTAAGACACACATACTCTGCAGCTGACAGACACCAGGGGGGTTTTAAGACTGACAAACACCCCGTGTGCCATGGTTCTGCAACTATCACAGGCAGTGTTTGAATGCATGTGTTGTGTGAATGTGTTCGTGCCCTACAGAGTTCAGAGCAGGTCTTCCCTGGTTACAGCTCTCCTGGTTCCACCCATGCACTCATTCTTACCCTCCTGGAGAAAGGCTTTCTAGAGCAATCCTGAAGCAAACTGAGAAGAGTGGGATTATCTGGGACACTACTCCAAGCAAGAGAACTCAAATGCTTTCACAGCAGGGAAACGCAGAAAGCAATTTATGCAGAATTTGAAAGGAATGAGATGAGGTGTAATTCTCTGAACAATTTAGCTACCACTTTTTTCTAACCCAACAATAACCTTGCCACTTTTGTTGTTTGACACAGCATTACTCTCACTTGTTCATCTGCTTTCACACAAAAGAATTCTCTTGCTCATGTCTCAGTGACAGTCAGACTCAGCCAGAGACATCATCTTTCACTCCCTCCCTCTCTGCAGAGAAAGGTGAAATGGATACGCAAGGTGCAGGTGGAAAATGGAAATCAATGGAAATCAAGATGGAAGATGGAAATCAGCCTCACGAGAGCATGAATTTTGGGGGTAAGCCCATTCCCAGCACCACCAGCTAGCCACACCATGTTAGCTCTTGGCACTGGCTGGCTCCCGGGTTGTAAGCATGATTTATTTACTCCACACCAAGCCAATGCGTGAACATTACCTGTTCTTTGAGCAGCAGAGCCACCCTCTCAAAGAGCTGGTTCCCATCAATGGAGGTCAATGCAATGTAGAGGAAGAGGCCGTAGAGGACTGGTTTTGGAATCCACTGAAGAGGGAAAGGGAGGAGCAGGAGCGAGAGGCCAACCAAGAAGTTTGCCACCAGACTCGTCAGCCGGGTCTCCTTCACACTCACAATCCTGGAAGCAGAAAAACAGGAATTAGTGGAGAAGGATAAGAACCCCAGTACCCACATAAACTTCTTACCGGGGCACACAGCTCAGAGGGAGCTCAGGACACGTGCCACTCAGGAAAGGGAAACTCATCTCCACAGCACTGAGATCAGCACTTCTGGCCCCACGCTGACACCGAGAAGACAGAGCTCTGCTGGATCCAGGCCAGGCACTTAATCCACAACTCAAACAGAGCACCTGGAGAAGTGCCAAATTCCCCTTCTCCGAAGCTGCACAGATCCCATCCTGAACTAAATTGCCCTCTAAACTAATTCTATCCAGCACATTGCAAGAAAATAGGCAAGAATCCTTTTTCTGGGCATTAATCCTTCCCTCAATTTACCCAACGCATATGCAATTGGCTTTTATCCAGAATAAAACTCGTTGGCTTCTACAGGAACTAATGAATGTCTTGGAAGGAAAAAAGTGGATCTGCATTCTCAACTGCAAGTCAACAGATGTATGTGAGGATTGCCTTGTTTACACGGAGGGAATGCTGGAAGCACTATGCATGGAGCTAGAAATTTAATTCTGCTGTGGATTACAGCAGCAGTGCTGTGAATTGCCTACCACCATGCAGACCTTATAATTCATTAGTGCAAATTTCATAGAATTCATGAACTATTTTTAATAAATAGCAACAAAAGATGGACAGAAAAGTGTGCAGCAACTTCCAGAGCCTACTCAGGGGTGAGAGGGTTGTTTTGTTTTGTTTTCATTCAATGTAAGCCCAAAACAATGGGAGGAAACAAAACCCTCATCTCTCAAGAGTACTTATAGAGGAAAAAAAGAGATTCTTAATGTAATTCATATTTATACACATATTTAGAAGATAAATCCACAGTATAAGCGGGTGAATAAATCCCCTATTATTGGTGAAACTCTTGCCACAGGCTCTCTAGGCATCATCTGGTGGCTGCAAGACATTCTGAATTAACCCTCTACACAAAGCACCGTGAAGATTAGCACAAGATCTATGAGAACATTTCCCTTTTTTCCAAGTACTGCTGACACTTCGTAATCCCTTCTGTACTAAAGAAGGTTCCTTCTCAGTGAATTCTTTCAGTATTGAGAGCCTTCCTTTTAAACATGGTCAGGTTGAACATCTGAAATTTTGTATTTTTGCATTCAAGAACGTAACGATGCTGTGGGGGAGCTGGATGAAGGAATCTTCCACACCTGTATTTAGGGTCTGAGGGAAAGCACAACACGCCAAGGCTTGCTCTTAGCACTTGGATAACACAGAATTTACATGAAACCTAAGGAATAACAACTATTACAAACAGAACACCAAGTCCTGAGGACAACACTTAAATTCCCCAGTGAATGTTGAGGCAGATTCTATGTGTCATCCAAGATTACCAAAAAAGGATACGCAGAAGAGACAGGAGGTATTAACCTCTGTGGAACTCCCCGTCTTCCTTCACATCTGAATTTAAACAGTCAAAACCACAGCCTTCCTCCTTCCAAACACACTTTTGCAAGTTTCTTAATGGGATGTCCCTCCCATTGCCTGGAGAAGCCAGAGGAAGAGAGCTGCTTCCCCCTGTTATCTGCAAACTGCTCCATCAGCTCTGGAAGAACAGGAACATCTGGGGGGTATCATTTGGCATCATTTGCACAGCCTCCAGGCCTGCATCACTGCAGAACAGAAGTCTCAGAGACAGAGACAAGCAAGCTTTAAGAGCAACTGCAGGGGCTATTTCAGATTAATCTGATAGTCCAATAAGGAGCAGTCAGACCACTTTAGTGCCATCAGAACCACTATGAGCCTCTTGAGTGTTGCAGTAAAGCAGGAGGGAAGAGATGCACTAAGTGATTCAGTCCATCCGTGTGCAGTAAGAGCTCCCCTAGTTTTGCCTTTGGGCAAGCTACCAAGGAAGCATTTCTTGTTTTGGGAAAAAGAAGATGTTCACAATCTGCAAACAGAGCATACACAAGGTTGCTAGGTTCCTTGTGAGTGCAGTGATGGAAACTGAAGGATCAAAGCTAGATATGAAACCAGCACATTTCAATAAGATATAAGCCTGCACGGATGGGAACAGCCCAGAGCAGCAGCCTTTTGGTAACAGATTTTTGAAGCTCATCACATTTTGTCGTCTTCTCTTAGGGATGCAGCAGTCACAGCATTGAGGAGTGCCTGAATGTACATAAGTTCTGCAATAACTATGGTCACTTGCTGTGAAAGCCATATAAAGTAGTCTGGAATCCCTTGCCAAAATAGTTAGAACTGCTCATTATTTATCAAATCCCATGTTTTTGAAGCTGAACTTCCCAGCCTCCAGACGCTCCTTTGCCAACTCTGGCACCTTTCTAATTTCCAGGAAAAAAAAAACAACAGTTCAGAATCTGGTTTGTCTCTTGAGGAAGCAGTTCCAGAAAGTCTGTACTGCCATGGAAATGATGTAATTAACAGAGATTATAGAGCAGAATCCAGGCTCGTTTCCCTAGGATCCTTTAAAATGGTTAGCATGGGATTAGCCATTCCCCACCTCCTCCGTATGCCTATTTGCAGATTGCCAGATTCCCATCAAATTCAAGTGGTTCACCCACAGGGAAGAAGAAGAAAATTTCGCTTTCATTGTGACGGAGCTTTATTCCTGTTAGTGCCATCATCCTCATGGAGCTTTGATTCGAATGCAGGAGAGGAACCTGCCAAGGGAGTCAGCACCAGAACAACTCCTGATTTTCTAATTGAGCTATGGTACGTTTTCTTTTTCAGCAGAGCTAAGAGAAAAAGGTGACAGCATTGCTCAGAGCCTCCTGTTTATGGCTCAGTGCTTTGCAGAGAACAAGCAGCTTCAGTCTCAAAGGGAATTCAGACAAGCAGGCAGCCCTTATTCCTGTCTTTGCTCCCTGTATTTGGTTCAAAGCACAAATTTACACAGAGGCAGAGCAGTGCCACAAGGGAAAGTACTTAGAGATTAGGTCATCTCTCAGTTCTTTTTAGGGTAATCACTGGACCTACATCTACGTTAACAAAGCAAAGGAGGGCTCTCCCCTGTTATTTTGGGGGCAGCTGGGTGACAGAGCAAAGGACAAGGACAGCAGGCCCTTAATTTGCACAAGGAACTGAGCTTTGCCAGGAGAAAACAGCACAGCATAAAGACAGTGGGTGGCAAAAGATGAAAGGAGCCACTAGGTATCTGACAGCAGAAAAGAGGGAGGCTTGGCTCGTGGGTTTCAAAGGGAAAATGATGCATCTCCTGGACTATAGTTGCCTATAATCTCTTCTGTAATGCATCAGGAGAAACAGACGGATCCCAAAAACGTTTCTTCTCCAAAAGAATGGTGATGCACTGGCAAAGAGGAGTGGAGTGGTGGAGTCACCACCCTAGGAGATGTTCAAGAACCATGGAGATGTGGCACTGAGGGATGTGGTCAGTGGGTATGGTGGGGGTGGGTTGGACTTGGTGATCTTGGATGTCTTTTCCAATTTAATGATTTTAGTCTATGAATACAACCCTACAAACCCCATTAAAGCAACTCAAGTTTTATTCTTTTTTTCCCCCCTTCTCATAACATAATGCTTGGATTCAAAGCAAAGATACAGTTGTAGGAACAACTAATACCAACACATACTAATGGGAATATGAGCCCAGGAGCTGATATCCCAATAGAGGACTACAAAAGCACTGCAGGGAACAGCAACATATGGATGTCATGTGAAATATCTACCAGCAACCCAGAAAGCAGACAAGCCCAACTGGGCTGGGCCCAGAACATAACAGCATAGAGGCAAGATTGAAATTAAAAGACAGATCCACTCCATTTCCCCAAAGTAAATGACCATTTAGTCTCACTTATGAGAAGTGAGGATTCTGAAAATGGAAACAAAAAGATAGCATAATTAAAACTAATGGCATGTGAGTGGAAATTACCACTTCTGAGGTAAAAGCGTTCGAGTGTAATGTACCGAGATCAAACGGACCAGATAATCTCTATTCTGGAGGAAGTTTCACAAGAAATTGGATTTTTTAATTATTTTTTTCTTAAATAAGACCCTGATAAGAAAGCATTTGACAACTCAGAGCAGCAAAAAAAAACTTGCCTTAAATAGAATGGTGTGACCCAGGCATGGTTTTTACTTAAGGAAAAGAGAATTTAATAAGCCTCTTGCCTTTCCAAAGCATGGTGGAAGAACATAGGAGCTCTGAAATGCTGCTGCATTTTTCCTATCCTTTGTAATAACCACTAGACAGGTCCCACGGGATGAATCAGACTGGATTTTTTCTGGTGAAGATATCTAGAGAAGTCTGGCCAAAACATCTCAGCTTCACACAGAGATAAAAGCAAAGAAGGTTTTGGCTGACTCTCTGCACCTAAATTTGCTGAGTTCCTTCAGGCTACTTCCTGCCATTGAGAAAAGCATGCGTTTGTGGCTCTTCTAGAAGAAGTGATTCGGGGAGGGGGGATGAAGCAGAGCAACAAACCGTGGCAGCTGAGGTGGCTTTGTTTGGTCCACTTTCATCTCTCAGAGTGTTCAAGACTACAGCTGGATCTCCAACCATACCCTATATCCCACTGTACCCAAAGCATAAGGAAAGCTCAAATCAAACCAAAGAGAGCCATGGTAGCTTTGTGGTTCCTACTTACGTCTCGTAGATGTGCCCGTTTTCAACCCTCTCCTCTACATAGGCCAGAGCACGGACGTGCATTGGAGAGTGAGGGAAGGCAGCATGGATCCATGGAAGGCCAAAGATGGACAGCCCCGTATTTATCAGCGCCACAAGGAGGAGGTCCCAGTGGTAGGCTGTTCCCTTCACCAACCTGAAATGGGGTACGGTTGAGAGCTGTCAGATTTGGTGCTAACAGCAGCAAGGCTGCTCTTCCTGAACCTCAGCTTGAATGTTAAACCAAGTGCACTTTCATGCACTGAGCAATTTTACACACCTCCTGTCTTACAGCTAATGTTATGTGAACACAAACGGTAATGGAACTTGATTGCTTTGGGAGAAAGCTATCAACTTCTAGAAAGAATAACGCTGAGCTAAAAGGCAATCTGCTAAAATAACAGCCCATAAGACTCACATCAACATTTTGCCACTATTGTTTATTGCTAAGTCAACTCAAAATACACAGGTACGCCTGCTAACAGAGCTGACATGGGCATGGGTTGTCAAACTAGCAACACTGAAGTTTCCTCATCTGCCCTGCTTCTATCCCTGATCTCTCTCCTTCCCCACAAGCAGACCCAGGAGCTGAGTGCACGCTTAATACGCTGCAGTCATCTCCCACAATTATTGCTTCTGCATGATAAGAAAATAGGACATGAATTCATTAAACTTCAGCTCCTCCTCATTAGTCAGCCCAGGAGATACGCTCCTAACTTCAGTTGACGCTGCAAACCCTCCCCCCACTTTAGTTTGAGGGAAAACAGCCCTTAAACTGGAATGTTAACCAAGGTGTTAGCCACATCACATTCACTTTGGGCTCCATAGAGAACAACTGCTAACACTGAACTCACAGCTCTTCCAACACTGTGATTTTTTGTAAGGTCCCCTTCCCAAACATACCACTGTGTGCTCAAACAAGTTGAATCAAGTTTACATAGAAGCTGGGTGGAGAAATTCAGCCCTCAGACTGTGTTACCTAAGTTAAGGGTCCATCAGCCATCGTTCTGTCTCTGGGTATCAGAGCAAGATAGCACTTGGGCCCTCTCTGACACAAGTAGAGGATCAGTTGAAATGCTCTCCAGGCACCATCAACTACAAGGCGTGCTCAGATATCATTTAGGTGTCTTAACACACAACAGTACCTAAGCAGAGACCTGGAGCCATCTCAGATGCTCTGGGATAGTAGGTACCTGGATCTAGCAAGCAATCCAGCACAGAAAGATTGTCTTATGGGTATGAAAACAGCACTCTCAGGTGGAGTTCAGCTTTGGAACAAAGACACGTCATACTGAAAGTGCTCACCTCCATTGAGGGAGGAGGCAACAGGGTGACTCGGTCAGATGGATGTCTACACTGCTTTGCCTCTGAAGGTGGAAGGTGCTGGCAGGAAGGGTGGGCTTCAGGAGCATTGTACACTCTTCCTGTGTTGGCTTATACTTTGAAAGCATGGCCTCTGCCCATGTGCTGATTTCTCAGAGCACAGGGATCACCCACCTCCCACAGGGTCATCGCTGCTTGTCCTATCTGCTGCTTTCAAAGGATTTTCTGTGTACAGAGGCCATATGTTCAGTGCCAGCACTGTTTTAATACTTGTCTCAATCTCACAGCATTGACTACACTCAACGCACATGCTTCTGAGCCTCTGCCTAGCTCAACACGCACAATAACTCTAGGTGTCTTACCCTGGGTTATTCTCACACTATCCAACCAGTCTATTACCTCTTGGACAGTCCCATAGCTTTCTTCTATTATTCTTTAGCAAAGCAGCGTGCTCTCACGTACATAACATTTTCCCTGCTTATTCTACAGGAAGACATTGCTATATTTAGTAGGACTCCAAAAACCGTATTCTCTTTGGTTGCAATAGGTGATGGAATTTTTATTCTGTGATGACACCACAGAGCAAGCTGTCAGGCTCTATTTTCCTCCTCTCCACATCCCTGCCCTGAAACACGACCAGCATAAGCTCAGCCCTGTACACAGCATTATGAAAAACGCTACAAAGAAATACAAAATGTTTTACGTTCCTTAAGGGCCCCCTATTGGAAACAACAACCCATACTGGGATAAAGATGACCCACTTACATTACAAACTTAAGTAATGCTTTACCTGAAAGGGGGATGATATAATCAAGATAACAGGAATAACCATGTAGTCAAAGAAAGTCAAACTGGTTCAACTGAATTTGAGCTTATCTTTTCTCCTCTAATTGTGTCACTCTATCTATAACATGGACTATAACACAAATCAGTGTTCAAGGAGAACCCTCCCACACATCACACCAGTGAAAAACCCTGAAACACGGTATTTTCTGGAAAGAAAGTCATACACATTCAACTTTCAATATCATCTGATTGCAGTTGGAAGAAAAAGAAATGAATATTTTCATAATCTTGTAACTTTAACACAAATCAGATCTACTAGATAAAAGTGAAGCTACATCAGATATAATATTTTACTTCTCTTCCCCATTCTCATTAGAGATAAATAGCTTCAAACACTCTCCTAATTCCCTAATGATGGTTGTGCAAACCACTGACTGGTCATTTATAAAAAAGCATCCTTTCTGACAGAGCTGTGCACATATCCACACGGATCAGATGCTCCATAAGCCGTATCTGGATGTACATCCATAAAAAAACCATAGCAAATACCAACAAAACTTTCACACAGGGGCAAAGAAGAAACAGGCAGAGGCATTGAGCTCATCAGCGCTCTGCATTATTGTTTGATTCACTGCTACAATATCAGGTTTTGGGGGATGGTGATGAGAAGTTCTGAAAGGTGTCCTGAATATTCCAATAATCAAGCTGGATCTTGGATAAAGCTATCAGAAGACAGATTTGCTCGAGGAGCAAGGTGTAGAACATAACTTGAGAACTTCCTTTTGTTGTTGTAGCACTAGTTGAGATCCCACTGGTACAGGTCAATAGGTTAGGAAGAAGTTTCCCATCACAGGGACAGTAGAAAGTTGAAAGCATTACCTGTTCTCTGGAGCATTTGTGAGCGATGCCACAATGTTCTGCTCTATGAAGAAGAGCATTGAGAGGAGGAACCCCAGCCCCATAGCACTCATCACCGAACCAATGGAGAGGGACTGGACAGGAGCCAGCACAAACAAGCTCTCAGATGGGTTGTAGTTAAATTTAGACACTGCAAAGAGGAGAGGAATGAAATTAGGGTGTGCCTTCTTGCCAAACCATCTACAAAGACTCACATTGTTCTACACACGTTATCATCTACAGGGAACCAACACAAAGTAAGCTGTGATACTCTGACACGTGGGAGCCAGAAGGCCATAGAAGACAGCTCTATGTGGCTGCTATAGTTCAGTTTTCCTCATCCCCTAAGAGCTTGGCTACCATCCTGACTTGTTGGGTTATGGCTCGTTCTAGTAAGGCATTCCCTTTTCTGAACAAATGAAAAAAAGGGGAACTCATTTTCCACAGACATGAAGCATTTTTTACATTAGAAATACTTCCAACTAGCAGTCGACTCCTGTTCAGTTCATCAGCTGACAGGTATTCTACATAAAACTTCCCTATGTGCAACAAGCTGTGCCCCTGCTTTCTGCCAGGGGGAAAAAAAAATATCTATCAGTACGGGTAGATTTCATACGGCCAAACATTCTGCAATCCAACTGAATGGAATGGTCATCACAGAAAAAAGCCATTTCTTATGCGTTTCCATACATTTCCTCATATCACCCACTCACGTCACCACGGGACAATGCAATTCCTGTCCCCATTATCACTTCCTGACGTGGAAAAGCTGATCAGTGTGGCCAATGAATGGTGTATCATTTTTAGATTTCCTCATGTAACTTACAACTGCCCAGATGCTCTGCACTGTTTCACCTACATTAGGAAAACGTCAAGTGGAGACAAAGAGGACAGACTGGGATCATCAACTCTACGTCTGCACAACTGGCAACAAACCCTTCCTGCCTGCTAATTACTCTGCCCTTTGTTCTTTGCCAGAAATTGTTGATTCTCTTTATTGTAAGAGATACACACCTAAATCACAACTAAATGAAAAGGCAGGCTGAAATAGCTCATCTAGAGAAAACTTTAACCAGTCCTGCTTGATTACGGTTTCAAATGACTTATATCTGAGACTGATGAAATTAGAAGTCCTGGAGTGGGAGGCAGTACAAACAGTGTCTGTAATATTATATGGGGGAACGTAGATTATTATTTATTTACTTGTAGCCAAACTTCCCTAGATTCAACTTTTTCTTGAATTGCAGACAGAATAGCATCCCTTAGCACTGCAAAGAATAAAAACACAACTTACTTTCAATTTCCTTGAAGATATAGGAACCCACAACAGAAAAAGTCAACACTGAAATGGGTAAGGCACAGTCGGACAGAATTTCACGGACTCTCGCATGCAAATATGGGCTGTAATTTAAAGACAGAAAACTTCCATCAACATTACACTGAAGGGACAGTTGCCTAATCCAGAGTGTTAACATTAACAAATGAAAAGTCAGTCCAGTCTTACCATTCTAAAGAGACATTTGAGGTGAAGAAAGTCTTTAATTCAGCCTAAGCCCTGTGGAATCTATCTTTGAAGGTTGATGAATACATAAGCAAAATCCCAGAAAGAACAAGAAAATAAGACACAAGCTGGTCCTCCAGCATCAACTGGCATCTAATTTTCATAGCAATTTTAATTACTTGCTTGGCCATTTCAAAGAGTTTTAAAGGCAATAGTATTAAAACCACATTAGAAGTGGGCATCTGGCTTCCAAGAGCACAGCAGAGGTACCTTCCCAGTAGGCTTTCCTACACCATCAGGAGTTTCACCCCCAACAATGGCTTAATGCTTATTTGGGGAGAGTTACAAGTTCCAAATGTTCAATATGATTCATGAAAAGCTTTCCAAAAATTCACCTGTGATGCCAAATCAAATACGGAAGGGCATCTGTCAGTGACAGAACATTTTGTCCTGCTCTAACATTTTCCAGGTGGCCAGCCAAGGTCACATCTGGTTTTGGCTTCCACCACCACCATTAATGGGAGAGTTCCACCTGATTTCACCGGGTTACAAGAATTTGGACCTAAACCATTATTGATTCCTCACAGGTAATATGAAATAATCAGTAGTCTGAGCTCTAAGGCTAAAGTAACTCACCTTTTCTTAAACTGATAGAGCGTATGACCAAGCCAAAGGGTACCCAACATCAACATGAGACTAAGGACGGCAGTTTCACGTCCATAATGCACATCATGCGTGCCTGTTTGATTCTCTAGGGACATGGATCTGCTCACTGATGAATTCATCAAGAAGGTGGTATTGATGCCGAGGCTTGGAATAGCATCAGTTCGTGCTTTTTCCAAGTAACTGTCTCCTGTGCGCCCATGGTAGTAATATTTCTTAAAAACTGTACAAACAACCAACAGGCAAGCATTAGGATAGGTTTGTGACAATCAGAGCAAGTAAAATAATGTGTTTTTTTTCTTGCTTGATCATGCAGTATTATTAACGTCATGCTTCACCAGGTTTATAGCTCTATCCCTCAAGCCAGAGAAAAGAAATCAGGAGAGCTGCCTCTCTTACAAAGACAGCACTTGACAGATTCTTCTTTCCATTCCTTTTCACCAAGTGAAAATTACACTCATCTGAAGCAACAGACATGAACTGTAAGAACTTATAGCACTAATTATTTACGTTATTTTGTTCCTCTCATTGGAATCACTGCTCTTAAACATAAACAGACATCAAATTTCAGCAGGCCGCTAAAAAATTACATCAAAAAATTAAGAGCAGACAGGCTACTCAGACCCTTAAGAGGACTGCACAATGCACAGTAATTACTTTTCCTCCAGGACCGCTCCAGATTTGAAGATAAGTGTTAATGATATGCAAAACCTGGCAGAACATTTAAAAATCACACTGCAAATTGAGATAGAGTTATAAAGCATCTGAAGTAAACCTGAACAAGTGAAATAGTAATGCCTCTGGAACTGCCCATAAATGTATGAGATTTAGCTCAGTTAAGAGTCATTTATACAAGTAATTAACAGTTCTAAGTGTACTCTTGCTCTTCAGCATTTAGTCAAGTTCCCTTTTGTATGGCATTGTCAGGCTCCAAGCATACAAACGCAATATTGGGATAATTTTGCCTCTTTCTGGAGTAAAAGCCTGGAGGTATCACAAAGAAGAAGTGAGAACAGATGGGGGTTGGCCCTTGTAGTCTTCCTACAAGAAGTAGGTAATGAGAGGTAATGGCCTCAAGTTGTTTCAGGGGAGGTTCAGATCGGATATTAGGAGACATTTATTCTCCAATAGAGTGGTCAGGCACTGGCACAGACACATCTCTGGAGGTGCTCAAGAAGCATGGAGATGTGGCACTGAGGGATGTGGTCAGTGGGCATGGTGGGATGGATTGGACTTAGTGTTCTTAGAAGTCTTTCCCAGCCTTAATGAATCTGTGTTGTGAGTGGTAGCCAGCAGACAGCTGGTTCTCCCCTGACACAAATAGGGAAACATGGGAGGATGGAAACCACCATGTCAGAGCTTGGTAGCCCCTTTGCCTTTCTTTGCTTTAGGCAAAATACTCATTCAGGCTTCACGAGGGAAACTCAGAAGTTTAGGGCAAGAGCTTCTCCTTTACACAAAAAATACAGCAATCTCAGTCCAAAACTGCTTGTTTTGGACTTTCATAGCATTCTGTACCATGCACTCTTTCCACTCCATGAAAAACCCCAAGCACTTCGTTGTTTTTTTTTTTTTTTCTGATGCTGCTCTCAGCTTGAGCCAGAAAGGAGGAGAACATTGCAGTTTTAATTATGAGAACCTCCCCCAGTAAGGAGCAACCCTGTTATGACCTCCCTTCACAAACGCGCACTTCTGCATCGCGTGCTGCGGAAGAGGCTCTGCTGTTATTTCCTCTCTATCCTCACAGCTGCATCCAGCCCAGTCAGGACACCCAGGTCTGCTTTGCAAATAGGTAAACTGAGGCACAGAGCACTGCTGCAACTAGCATGAGATAGGTCGCTGAAGAGTTTGCTGTTTCTGGCTCTGAATACTATGGAGGATGCTTTTGTCATCACAGAACTGATTACTGGGGGTATTTTCCTGGAGATCAGTAGCTGATCAAGGCTGAAAGCCTGCTCACTGTCTAAGCAGACCCTCACAGTCACTAAGCCCTAGAAATGTACACAATTATTAAGCCTATAATAAACCAGTGGTTACAGAATTGCAAGTGCTATGCAGAATACATTGACATGCCTCTATTTAGATTCGAAATCATACAAATAAAAATTCAAGTTATTTACACAATAATGTTTTGAGTCTGGGGATTTTCTCAGTTCCCCAAGGGATACTGCATTTCTCACACATTTTAATAGATTTAGGGTTGATCACAGCTATGTGCACCACCTCTCAGGCTGCAGTTCAATTTGCACCCACCTCAAAACTGGATAGGGCTGCTCCAGTTAACCCTAAATATAAGAGGAAGAAGCGTTCTGGCTTATTTACCCTTGGATTTTAGTGCACTGAGGATGTGTCAAGGCAGCAGCATACCGAGGGCGTTTCTCTGAACGACTTGCTATAAAATACTGAAAAAAATTGCTATAGGTTTTGTCATTTTTGGTTGTTTTTCTAACTGAGAGCTACGTGGATCTTGCTGCCCCATTCAGAGCAAAGCAGGTGGTGCTCCAATTGAAACAGAGCCATCCTCAAGCCCAGCGCACGCTCAAGTTCCTTCCAACAACATTAACTTGTGTTGTTTGCTTCAGCCAGTCAGTCGTCGTTTCCTGCAGAGTGCAGATGTCAAGATCAAACAAATACAGCTTTGGTGGCTGGGCCACATGCTGAAAACAGTGTCAGTGGGGATGGCTGGAGCACCTGGCCCAATTCCTCTGTACAGGGTTGCAGCCCTCCCCCATCTCTTTCCTGCGTGCATATAGTACCTTGCAAAAACCAAGGCTATCAGCAGGCTAAGGAAAACACATCTGAGCAAAAGGAACATATCCTTTAGCCTTCAGGAAGACTTAATGTTGCTGATAGCTTTTGCCAGTACCAGCTTTCTCCTTTTACCTAACTGTTCAATCCTTATTCTGAGAGTTAACTGAGCAAGTATCTCCTCCTGCTATAAGACTGAAGCGGAAGAGGAAAGATGAGCACGTGGCTATACTGGTGTCATCTGTTTAAATATGAGCACCAAGAGGGTTTAGGATCAAGGCTGAGCCTGCCAACATCACTGCCCTTCTGCACCTGGGAACCTGGCTGGACATGGGGTCTCATCTGCTGATGAATTCAGTGCTCCCAGATGCAGCTCAAGCCAACAGGAGCTGCTGAACAAGCTGAGTGCTGGCTTGATTTTATTACCATTGTTCCTATAAACAGCCCTTTCCAAGTTCAAGGGAAAATTAGACTAATTAGGCTAATTCACTAATTACATTAACATCCAGCCTCTTCTACTGTCCCCAGTGCAATGCACTGATTGAGCTACTACTCCCATACTCCTGAAAGTTTGGTAGCAGAGGTAAATGGATGCTTTCCTCACCTTTAATCCATATCCCATGCCTTTGCTATGCAGAATTAACTCCACACTACAGAACGACTGCAAACATGTACTGATTTTCACAGAGCAATTGAATACTGCTGAATAACAGCCTAGTGCTACAGGGGGAATGCTCCACGCCTGCAGCGCAGGGCACAGACAGGACACACTTCAAGTACCACACAGAGCTGCATCTTAAGCAAGAAGGCAGCAAAATATCCCAGAGCTGCTCCCTCTTCACCGAGCTTTTAACTTTTACCTGAGAGTGCCATGGAAACGTGAAGGCTGCTCATGTGAGTACACAGATTAACCCATAAATGGGCAGGTGGTGGCTGGAAAGGGATGAATAGTTTGGGAGCATGCTAGAAGGCACTGCAGTCACTAGGCCACCATTAAGGGAGAAGGAGATCTCAGCTCATAAGGATGGACAATCTCAACACATCTTTTGCCTCCCATTCAACACATTCAACAATGTGGTGTGGAGAAAAATCTGCATTTAAATAAGACTTTTTAGCATGGGAAGACTCTCACTGAAACCTTCGTGTGGTTTCTCTACCTAAGCCCATCTCAGCCAACTGAAATGAGAGCTAATAGAAATTTTGCATTTCCAAGTGAACTGCTGACACACAGCTGCTTGTGTCTCAAGCACTTTGATTTTTTTCTGAAGACTCTGAACGAACATGGATCAAGGAAATGTCATGCATATTTGCAGCCTCATATTTCCCTGTGGCAACAAAGCAAAACAGATATCTGGACTGAAGAATACTGTTGCAAGACTTACCTTTAATAATACCTTTGAAGGCATCAAGCACAAAAGTGATTGATATAAAAAGTGCAATTATTTCTTCTGTTGACCTGTGAAAAAATTCCATGAATTAATACAGCTATTAGCAGAGCATGCACTCAACTCCATTCAAAGAAAATCAGCATATTCAGGCATTCACATCAAAATATACAAATTATAGTTAAACTCTATCTCAGGAAAGAAAACCCAGTGAATCTTTTAAAGCTTCTTTTCAAGCTGGAACAATAAGCCAAAATGATATGAGCTTCATCTCGCAAAATACATTTTGCAGCAAGTTTGTAATTAAGGAGCTTGTGGAATGTGTAATTTTTCCATTTGCTGAATAATCCGATCAAAATACGACTTTTTGAAAATAGCTACCTTTTAAAGAGCTTCATCAGAAGACTGAAATTAAAGAGGGAGTACATCACAAGGAAAAAGCTGTTCCACAGTCCAATCCAAGCATAGAAAGCACTGAAATCCAAGTTGTAGTCATCACAGATTCCTCGAATGACTGCAGAATTGAAGCATTCACACATCAGATTAAGCTGAGATTCTCATTTGCTTGATGGCAAGAAGAGAACTAATTTTAAGACTTTGCCCAACCACACCTATAGCAGACACCATTAAATCTGTTCTTACACTCCATGTACAAGCATTGGATCAGTCTTTTTTTCCTCCTCTCCCCCAGCCACTAGAAATAGAGAAAAAAAAAATCCCACACTGCTCAAAGCATCCTTCCTATGTATTAAGGCCACAAAATCCTGCTTAGAATTTGCTCTTTATGACAACTCAGGTGCTGTTGAGAAAAGGATCTCATGCGTGTTTTTGGACCACGTTTACTCTGTCAGTTCACTGCAGACTAGAACTTCCCAACTTAATTGGAGTCCATTGAATTGTTCCTAGAGATACTGATTGAGTTTGCTCCTTTTCATCTCTGGCTCAGTAGTATAATCTCCTAGCTGTAACTGGAAAGCTACTTATCACACCATATCAGAGTGATAAAGATCCCTCGTTGCTGGCTCTTATCAAGGTGGTGAAATGCAGCTCCATGAGAAAGTAGCCAGATAAAAAGATTTCTTTCTTGAAGCACAAATGCTTATTCTCATGACTTTTTCTTTTCTCCAGATCATTCCATTAAAACCAAGTCTCTTTAACTAAACATGCATCGAGCTTCTTCTCTCAGCACCAAATATAGCCCTTTACAATTGACTTAATAAAAAGAAATGCAACTAGAACTCTAGTAGGGTTCAAGATTCTCACACGGAGTCACTTTCCACTAATCTTAATCAAATCAGCCCCCAGCATACACATTTAATAGGCTTACCATTAATGTAGAGTGCTAAAGGAGCTGTAGTCAGGAGCACGACAAGAGGCTGCCCTGAGAAGAGTGCATAAAGCAGCCCTCCAATACACTGGCCAACGATTGTCTTCTGCACATCTATGAGTAATCGGGAAGGAAGGAAAGAAACATTTTTTTCTTCTAATTGAAAGAATTCTGTATTCACAGAGCAGACTCACTGATGAATAAGAGGAATACTTTGAATGCATAGAGGTGAGAAAGCATGAAGTGACCCTATGCCTAGTGTAACTGAATAGCCAAGCGTGGGATCTACAAAGATCATCAAGTCTAACAGTGTAATAATTTAGGATGTCAACAAGTTTAATCCAGAAGACCTTTGGGACAGAATTTTAACTCAATCTTATGAGCTGCTTCAGAGACACAACTGGGGCAGAACAACACACCCAACACTCTATCAGCATTTTGGACACTGCTAATCAAATTTGGATTAAAATCCAGCAGCTTGCCTGGGGAAAATGTACATGCAGTACACTGCATAGTTAGAAAGCAAGTGTTATTTAATAAAGGCAGGGTATAATTCTAGCTGTTGAGGTCTGATGATATTACCCCCAAATAGTCAACCTGACTTCTCAGAAAAATCATGAACTTAAGATCACTCAGTGATGCTTTATTCAGCAAAGAAGAACTACAAAAACTGAGTGATTAGGGCTACCCAACTTGAACACACGGGATCCTAAAGAGATAGAAAGAGGATAAACTTACCAATAGCTCCTCGGGTGTTTTCATCATTGAGGGACCCAAAAGCAATAGATGGAAGGAGGCAGGCGAAATACAGAAAAATCATAGTTGTGATGTATTTTCCTATAGCCTTATTGTTTCCAATAATACCTAGTGTAAACCCAAAAAGTTGTTAGTGCTGCACACTTGGAAATCATTGAAACCTTGTTCAGAAAAGGTATATGTGCCATTAGATCTTTTAATACTGACACACATCAGGAGAAATGTAGTCCACTTTAGTCTAAGAATCTAGGCAGTCTTTGGCACTTGCTTCTGCACAACTGCATTCCTGTGCACCTAGTACCAGAACAAGCACTACCAACAGCACCACACTACAGGCTGCTTCAGCTGGCACTCCTGGCATCACCAAAACAGGAAATCCTAGGAGCTGCTTTGTTCAGTTTAAGAAGCTCGGAAAAGGATCAAAGCAGAAGTCAGAATGTTAATGTTCATAAACCCCCACCTCCTGCCTTTTTAATACCAACTTCACAGGTATTCTGTGCTACGGCCCTAACAAGCTTCATGATGATCACTTGCCATTGCAACTCACAATGCTCAAGGCAGGAAAACATGAAGCACTTCATTTTTCCTTAAGTAGAAATCTGAGATTATAAGGCTTGAATCAATAAAGTGCTTTTCTGAGCCAATTAGTGCTAGCAAAACAAATAGCACAAGAGGTCAGGAATGCGTACATTAAAAGAGTTTTGCTTTAAAAAAAGCCTTTCTGAAAGAATGGCTTCTTTTCCAGCCACTCACCCCTTCTCATCTCCATCGGAAAAAACACATCGGGCTGTAACAAAAGCAGCCAGAAAGAGAATTAAAGTGTCATAACATGAATTTAAGGGCCTCTGAAGTAGCTTCCCTTCCCTTTCCTGTTTTCAGGCTGATGTCCATCCCCAGTGAGCTCATATCACCCCTGAGGGAAAGGATACAAGATGACAACAGCTGACATCGCTCAAGAAGAAGCTCAAGAAGTTTTTGTGAGGTTTTTTTTTTTTTTCTTTCCACTGAGCAGCCTCAGAATGGTTATGGCAGAAAGAATCTCCTCCAAAATAATAATAATAAAAAAAGTCAACAATTAGCCTTCAGTCTGCCTGTGCCACCATTCTCAATGATGCTTCTGCTGAAATACTTGGGCAGATTTGGAGTCATCCATTTTCCCTTTTGTGGAAGTCACTTGAGTAGGGAGCTCCCACCCATCTGCCCCCAAGCTCCCAAAGCCTCTGCTACCATCAGGTTCTTGCCAAAGGAAGCTACCAGCACAAGAGTTGGATCTGAGAAAGGTATTTTGCATCTGAGGCTTTCAGTGTCACACAGAAAATCAGGGCACTGCCACAACTGATTGCTTTTCACTCCACTGATTGTCAATCACTCGATGACTTCCAGATCCTTATCTAACATCTGTTTCGTGCACCGCTTGCAGTGCAGAGATAAAGACAGAAGGAGGATGCAAAAGCCAAAAAAAGAAAGATGTGTAACGATCAAGCAGCCATACGAGTAAAGGACACCTTGTGAAGGCTCCCTTTTGCAGACCTGAGAAGTAGACACAAACAGGAACGATGCTCAGCATCCTTAAAAAAGTAATAAGAAAACAGGGAGAGCTGAAACTTGACAGGAGACATCTCAAGCATGCAAATATAAGCCTGACCTTCCAAGAGTCATGGGACCAGCTGTTTCAGGGCAGATTCTTTTCAGTGTATTGTGAAGATTCAGAAACCACAGACCACATTCCTGACCACTCTTGGCAACCGCAGTGCCTGAAACGTTCTTTTTCCAGATAAAGTGTTCTCGTGATCAAGTTAAACAGCTACAGGCTCCCACCTCACACTCCCAAGTGCCTGAGACCTTTAGAAAGGATGAAAGGTTCTGTAGGGCAAAGAGGAGACTAAGCATTAGTTTCACAAGTAGAGATCATCACTCCTTGCTCTGAGAACAACGTGGCTCCAGAACACAGGTTTCTTTGGACAAAGGAGTCTTTCCAGTGTGAAAGATCAGAAGCAGCAGTTCTTGAAAGCTTTGCATTCATAAAAGGACAGAGAAACAACAGATGAAAGAAAAGGGTCATTTTCTAAACACAGAAAGGTTTGTAAGTGATGAGGTTGTAAAACCTCAGTTAATTAAACCATGGTATAAGCAGGTAGAAAGAAGAAGCCTTGAAGGGACTCTCTAAAACTTATGCATGGCTTTTGGCTTCAGCCTTGCTTTGCAAGCAACTGTTAGAGCAGGAGTCTTTGCTGATCACGGAGATCCTTATGCAGCATTATGGCTGAGTCCAAGATTCCCAGCAGAAGCAAACTTTTAGTCCATTTTCAGTCACAGGAGATCCAAAGAGCAAAGAAACCCTTCCGGTGGCAGAAAAACTCACTTCACAATGGAGATAACTACATCAAATTTAATGTACCCTTTCATAAATACTATCGATCACTCCCTATTCGCAGTTAAAATCATGAGCAAGTACCTCCTCGTTGTACAGACTCCACTAAGACAAGCACTAAATTCCAGCATTAGTCACAATTTACCTTTTACCTTTTTGAAATCAACATCTGGCTACATATTTTCAGGGTTTATTAGCAATCTGGAGACTGTCATTACTTCATCTCTGAAAAGGTGGGCTGCGTTACGACAGCATTTCACCTGCAGCAGGCTCATAAAGCCATTGAAAAATGTGTCACTCCAACTGCAGCACATCAATTTGTAGCCAAAAGTCAACTTAGTTCAGCTGTGAAATTTGAGTAATTAACTATTACTGGAGCAATCCCTTGAAATTAGGGTACATCTACACATTGAAAGGGGAAGTGATTATGTTCATCAACATGACAGTTCTATTTTACTTGCCTGAATTTCAGAAGTGACTTTTTCTTTTAAAATGACAAGGTTAGAGGTTCAGAGAATACCACGTTGTTGGCCTCACTTTGCCTGGCATTCTGCAACAGTAATTTAAAGACTTACAGGTCCAGGGGCTGGCACTGAAGCTCCTTACGTCTACTAATTGTACATTTACCGAATCCAACTTGAGATGGACAGTCCATGATTCATCTGACAACTGAAGTTCCTTCCCAATTCTCCGAAATATCTAATGCAAAGTAGGCTTAATTAAACCAATTCGCATCACAGCAGCAAGGATATGTCTATTAAAACCTTGACAAAAGAAATACCTTTCAATGGTTAGAAGCTAATAATAACACTATCTATAGCCTTCCACGTATTAAGCCATAAAAAGGCGAAACATTATAAACCTATACTAAAGCTCTCAAGCTGGGTTTTTACTTCTGTTAGCAGCTGCTGGACTCCACCCAACTTCCTAAGGACACACAGAAGATGAATCTTCCCTAAGTCCAACAATGAGTAAATTACACTACAACAAGCAAGACTAAGAACTAGAAAAGTAGATCCAGCTGATTTTGGGCAGAGAAACCAAGAATACGCTCAGACTAGGGAACAGTGAATAAACAAGTAATATGTACAAATGCCACCAACTCATGAGGATGTCACTGACAGAGGAGCTCTCACAGGAACTGATTGGGAACGGTGCAGGACCAAGGACAGGGAGAAGCCAACAGATCCAGCCAACTCTCAACCCACTACAGACAGGAGCAAACAACCTCATAATAAACCTCACCCTTACCTCTTCTATTCACCTTCCTTCTCCGAGAGGTGAAGGGATACAGCAGAATCCAACACTGAAGCTTATCTTAAGAGTTCAGAGAGAATTCTCTTAAGAGGATCTTAAGAGCTTCAGAAACCTCAAGTTTCCTCAAGCACTCCACAGTTTTAATTTCTCTATGTTGTACCAGGAAATGTAAGCCAAGGAATAAGAGTAGGGTCTTCAAGGGGTGGCAAGTAAACTGTAGCTGAGTCCAGGCATCTTCTGAGAGTCCCTTCTTTCATTCAAACCAGCCTCATAATTCAGAAGTTTCAAGAAGCTACTAAGCTTCGATTGAATTTTAGAGTAATAAATAATTGGTAGCACAAGTGTTTTGAAACTGACAAGATCAGAAGGAAGTTCTGTACAAGTTTTGCTTCAAAAAAGAAAGAGCCTCAAATAATGCAGTCATTAAGAAAAGACTACACATCAAATTGACTAAACCCTAGCTTTAAAGGAAAATCACACGTTTTCCTTAGGCTCAGCATAATCACATTTTTCATCTTCAGATGCTCCCACCAAAATCTGTTTACTGCAAGCCACTTATACCATCAGTTCTGGAGAAAACCAGAAAGCTCTTTGTTATTTGCACATTCAGACATTGAAGACTTCTACAATCCAAAGCAAATTTAAGCTTGACTAATTCCTAATCTGGGGGAAATTAAAAAGAGACTCCTTTCTGCTCTTTCCCACATCACAATAGCTAAAGATAATTTAAAGGCCAGCTTTCTGCATCATGTGAATAAGATCAATCACACAAAAAAGTCCAACTGACAAAATACTTGCTGGCCTTACAAAGGCCTTATTTATCACCCAGCTGTTAATCGGTTTATCTATCTCAACCAAAATCCCAGGATGCTTCTCAGATTAAGGATTTAGATTCCAACCATTCAGCAAAGAGGCATCTTTGCTATTCAAAGTTCTTTGATGATGCACGTGTGATTGTCTGGAGTACAGATATTTGGATAGCTCAATTCCCTAACGTTTTGGTGCACTGCTGCTTTGAGATGGTCCAGGAATTTCACATTGTTGATCACCTTCAGTCTTGGTGGTTTATGGCAGATATTTTCTATTCCATATGGTTTTCATTCCACAGAGATCTTTTTAAAAGAATTTATCTTAATTTCCAGTTTCTGGGAAGTAGCACATAGAAATACTTCCAGGCTTTTAGAAATTCTCCTCCCTTCCCTGTATCATACATGAAAGAGAGCATGACTCCTTCTAAGGTGAACTTCACTTTTGGGCTGAAATAGTTCTCAAGTTCAGCTTAGCTCACTTCAGCATCTTTTCTCTCCAAGAGCTGTATAACATGATAAATGACTACATGCTATATTTACATTTTATACCAGAACAATTCTCTGCAATATTTGCAATGCTGCATCCTCACCACGACAGTATTTCAGAAGCAGCCAAATGAACAGTGCCAAGCCAGTCAACCCCAGCATCTTGTCTAGGGCAATCTGGATCTACTGCATGCATTGGTGTGCAAAAAGCTTGCCAAATTGGCTATAGTTGGCAGGGTCAAGACTGAGAAGCAGAGCAATAGTTTGGATGCATGCAGAGCATCAACATGAACCCAAAAATGGATTCCCAAACCTGCTGTCAGCCTGTATGACTATCATTCAATGCACTTTTGCTTGTTAACCTACTGCACACTCAGGATATGGACAGCTGTAAGTATAGCAAGTAGCTACAGCTAAGTCTCAGCTTTGCTAAAAGGATGTTTCTCTGTGCTGCAAGATCCTTATTCACTTCCCTTCCCCTTACAATGATCAGTTGGAATCTGGAGGCCCTACAAAGAAATAGCCATGGAGACAAAGCATCCTGAAACCATTTCAGGGGTGTACAAATTAGGAGCTCATGTCCTCTAACAGATCTGATGCTGCTAGCCAAGAAATCACGTTTGTGTTTTTCATCAGGCTCCTTGCTGCAACTGTGAAAACAATTTCTTAACGCTCTTCCTTCTCAATATGCCCTCAATCCCCATAAAAACATAGCCTAAGCTTGACTTCACATAGAGCCGCCCTCTATTAATCTTAGGCCTCACAGAAACAGTTCCATTCCAGCAGTTACAAAGCTCTTTTAAAGAGTATCCAGCACAGCCACAATATGAAGTGACAGCAAATTCCATTTCATTCTTTACAACAAAATGGGTGCCACCAACTGCAAAAACGCTTGTGGTATGCACCTTGTCTTCTTACACCACCTGCAAAAGGGCAATGCAGGGAGTGTACTGGGATAACTCTGCCTTGGGCTAAAGAGTTGAATAGCAGAAACGCATTTGATGATCTCCCAGATTCTCCTTGCCTACCCTCTACATCTTTTGTTTATGCAAACTTTTTTGGGGTTGATTCCAGATGACTGAATTATTAATAAACTCCCCCAAAAGCTGTAAGGAACTGAACAAGCTTTGATGTCAGGCAGAGGCTCTGAAGTTATGGTTTGCTCTGAAGACTTTTCATGGCTATGAAGAACCTCTGGAAGTAAAAGCCCGCGAGTAGAAAGGGGAGAAAACTCTGAAAAGCAACACTGCTATTGTGGGAACTACACAGTGCCCCACACCTGAGGCTCAGTATAAACATCATGTTTCTGCTTCTATGATCTGACTACAGAAGACAAGCTATATCCTGTTTTTAAGAGGCACTGAGCTGAAGTTACTGCAGCTCAGGTTTTGTTTAAGCACTCTCTACTCCCACTGCATCACCATAATTACTGTTGAAGCTGGCTTGCAAGGACAGCAAAAAGGGTCTATTAGGCCGCTGCTGACTAATTAGGTTGCAGTGAGTTGAACTGTGTTTGCACACAACAATAATCAATCTACTTAATCGCCTCATAGCTTAATAAGAATTAAAATCCCCATCTACACACAGCTATCATCTTTATTTAGGGAATACTGCAAGCTTCTCATCTACAATGTGTGTTGCTGCCTATTCATGGGCTTTAGTCAACATACTTGTTTAAATAAGAACTAAGAGAGCTATTACACATACCAAAGAACATATTCAATGCACACTGTAAACAGGACATCATATCACAAATTCAAAAATCGGGCCAACGTTTCCATAAATACTGGCCAACATACCATCAGTGAAGTCCAACGCGTACACTGGAAATCTTCGTGCAATGTCATCAAAAATCCCCTTGCCAACATTGAGAAACTCATGCAGCTGAAGAAAGGAAGGAAGTGCTGTGTCAGTTTAAAGGCTCGTGTATTGTCAAAGAGATTAACCTCCTTATTCAATACTGATAGGAGCAACACTGGTCATTTTGAATAGGGCATTCAAATTGGATTTCGTAATGATAATAAAAATAGACCCTTCACTCTCCAAACTATATCTTGAAAAGCACTGTAAGATAAAAATCCCCAGACCACCCTATTTTCCTCCATTCCTTCCCTCTTTCTCATCCTATTCGTGTCCACATCCCTGCTTTGTAGATGAGGGAGCTGATGCACAGCATTCAGAGACCTGCCAAAGACACCCCTTGGCCAACAGTTGGATTAGACCTCAGGCACAGGGATAACATCTAGGTACCCATAGGATAAACATGAGGATAAAGAGCCCTCCCCCACTGCTCCAGACAACTTGCTGATATGTCCCACCAGGAAATTCTTGCTAAAAACCACATGAAACACGTGTAAGAGGGTCTGCACAAAGTGCTCTTTCCTTTAGCATGGCCACAAAAGAGAACATCTCAAACTTAGTCTGGGAACTAAGACCATCTACATCCCCAACTCAACTCAAAGGGAACGGGCTGAATTAACTTCACACAATCAAACAGTAGTTTCTGTCTATTAAAAGCCAGTAAGAACACTGTGAAGTGGTTACAGAAACCTGACATGTTCCCTTTCACTTGTGCTCTGAGGGCCTGCAAGGTGCAATATGCTTGTGTATATGAACTGATGCATAACACAAGCAACAAGGAGCTTTATAGAAATAAAAGACAGCTGTTATTGACTTACAGCCTCCCAGTTGTCAACTACATCATTAAGAAAAGCACCAGTGTTCCCTGTTATCCTCAATTCAGAGTACACACGCTATTCCAAAAAGAAAATGCAGCCTAATACGGTGCTAATTATCCCAACTGCCTCATGAAAAACACTGTATGTTTCCTGCAGAACAAGGGACACCGCTAAGGAAGTGTAAAGAGAGAAGAAAGTCACAGATGAATTCTATATTAACAGACCATCTTAAGACAGCACAGAGGTCATCTTTCTACATGTTTGGTTGTTTTATGTAGAAATGGATGGAAGCTATTGCTATGGAAAGGACTGACCTTGCCCCGCTCTCTCAACAGACACACAGCTTTTCTTTTTCTTACCTGCCTTGCAGTACCTGGAAATTCAGTCATGTCACAACATCAAACAGAATAAGAAAATGTCTCTTACAAAGGGAATACACCATAGCACATCAAACACTTAAGGTTTTTCAGGTGCAAAAGCTCTCTCAAAGCTCTAACTCTTTTATCAGTCCTTACCACATCTTAGGTCCCAAGTAAGTCAAATTCTGTTGCATTTTGCCAATATACCTCCAGTACTTGTAGAGAGTTTCAGCTCTCTGCAATGAACAACCAGGAGGAAAGGAAAACAAATGGTATAACATAACTGCATTTTAAGTATTTCCGGAAAAAACAACAACTATGAACTCAAATCAACAGGCATATTTGGACATCAAAGCCATATGCACTTAAAAAGCAATTTAATTTCTCCCCCCAGAAAGACATTCCTAAAGGCACGAGTCAGCCAGCGAATCACAATGGCTTTAATGACTAATATGTTTACTTGTCTCACTGCAGTGACTATGGGAAAAGGATGCTCAGAGCAGCTCACCTTTGAGGGGAAGAAGCCACACACTCACTGCTTGCCTGAGGCTGAGCAGGATGGGGTTGCTCATGCAAGCTGCCTGCTTGTAGGAAGCAGGGAACACAAAAATGTATTGATCTTAGTGTCCCACAAGGCACACTGAGGCAAATTTGAGGAAAGGTGAGGCAGCAGGTTATGTTTGAGACCTTTGAACCTTTCTTTACGCATTTATTTCTTGCCTGTGGGCAAGTTTGGCTTGGAGTGAGGATGTCAAGCTAAACCTCAGTGCTGTTTCTATAGAGACCACTGACACAAAATCTGTGGCTAAATATGGGGAACATTGTTTATCCTGCACAAGTTATCCTCTTACTTTCCTCTTGCTCAAACTTAACACTGAACTCTTTTAAGTTCGAGCCTCCCTTAAAAATATATATCTTAAGGACAATGCTGGCACTTCATTTACTTCATCCTCCTTCTTCAAGTTGCTTCCTCACACCCTCAAGAGCTGGTGATCTCTTGGGCTGCCATTCCTTGCTTCTTTCCCTATCAGTGGGAAGAGTTTGCTTGGGCCTCTTTTCCACTCCCATTCATGGCAGCAGCTCTCTCACGGCCCTATCATGTTTTTGGCATGACACACCAATCCCAGGTGGCCTTATCCAATCCATTTTTCTTCCATTTTGCTGCATCCGCACAGCAAGCTCACAGCTTTCTACCTTCCATTCTACATCTCCTTCCATGCCTCTTTCACAAACTACCATCATTTGAGTTTGCTTATTTCTCTACGTCAGTACTATAAGGGATAGAAGAAAATATTAATTGTGCTCCCGCTCTCCATCAAGAGAGCGCCATTTCTCCCCCATCACTACAGGATCAAGAGAAAAAGGGAGTTAGGAAGCAGCTTTTCATGCCTTCAGGACATCACCCTTCCACGGGCTTGCTTGCTATTAGAAGCAGCTCCAAATTAGGATATTTATTTCAGTCAGGGGAGGTTCACAGGTTGAAATTACACTCTTGGTCTCATATGAGCTTGTTCTCATATTAAGTGGTTCCTTTTTAAAGGACTATCACACAGGGCAGACAGGAGAGGAAGGCTTCTGCATAAGGCTTTCATTAGAACTAATAAACACAGGCTACAACCTCAACTCAACTTCACTTGTCCAGGCAAAGCTTTGCCAGGGACATGGGAAGGGGTCCAAAGCCTATCTCTGAAAAATCGATGCTGGAGAGTCCCCTTTCAGGCAAGGACAGCTTCTTTCAAGCGACATGAGAAAGAATTACTATTGCACAATCTGCACCCCTGGAGAGCTAGAACACCTCTAAAAGCAATGAATTACCAAAGTCAGACTAAGAGCAATTCAATGCTACGAGTGTTAAAGAAGCAAGTGTCACTGTTCCCTGTGCCAGCTCAGAACTGTGGAAGCTCTGCCTGGCCATGGCTGCAGGCCCAGCAATGCAGGCAGAAAACACCGCTTCAGGGCCCACAAACATCGCATCCAGCTCTTCTGCTCACCAAACCAGAGCAGAAATGCCTCCACACTTTAAATAGGTTGCTCTTAATTTCTCCTGCGTGTATGAAGACACCTCAAATTCTCTGCCAGCACCATCTTTGTAAGGCCACATGCAAAGAGTCAAGCTTACTTTTCTGCAATTACTCCTACAAAACCACCACTCTGAACGACCTCTGCTTGAGAGCATTGCAGGACTTGTCCTGCAAACTTAAGGGCTGGTACGGTGTCTACCAAAGTTAAGTGCTACCTATAAGCAAGGGGATTATGCTGGAAAAAGAGAGTTGCTCATTTCCAGATGTGCAGGTCAAAGCCCCTTAAGTCTACTTCAGTTAAAAGAGTTATATGTTAGCCAGGTCTCCGCACTAGAGACAACCCAAAGCTTCAAGGTTATTTGCAACCCAAGGACAGGAACAGCAGGCTAGGGATGATACAGTTTGTTTTTCAGGTATGCTGCTTGGTTGAAGAATGAACTTCTGAACGGAAAAGCAAAGCAGTGACCAATACACAGGAAATTCCAGAAAAGAAAGTGGAGTTACAGCATTTCCCTCGAACTTTAGAGTACAAAGCAAGTAACGTTTTACAGAGCTACAGATCAAACAGTAGAAAGCCAAGCCAAGAACTGACAGGCAACTTTTAAGTGAAATTACTGTGCTGGGACAGCCAAGAAGTCTTTTGGCTGCAGGAAAGACAAGCAGCAGCTTCTTCAGAGACTTCTGATTGTAAGGATTAAGTACCTTGGACTGACAGCACACAGTGATCCATTAATCCCATCCACAACTAAGCATCTGGATTCAAAATCCTGTAACCATTTCAACCCCTACTGTTCTGCATCCCCTCGGCACCTGCATGTTTGAAGTGCTTTCTTGTGATTTACAGCAGGAGCTGAGGAAGGTAGACAAGCATACTGGAAACATTTATAGCAACCTCAGTCCTGAGAGCTCTAGGAAAGTCTGATGGATGCAAGCACCACAGACGCTTCAACTCCTTTCCTGAAAACCCTTGCATTTATTCATTTTGATACCAAAGCAGTGGGAGGACAGCTGGAAATGTTGGCCAGCCTTACCTTGAGTGGCTTAGGACCGTGCGGCATGTGCCCGTCGCTCATTGCTGAGGGTCTCTGATTCACCACCGTCAACAAGTGGCGTTGGTGGACTAAGGCTTCCTTGAACTCCTCTTCAGTTTTGGTTTCTAGCAGTTTCTGCCGAAAGGTTATATCAGAAAACATCGTGGCAAAGGTTCGGCCCACTTCTGTGGCTGTTTTGGTACTTTTCTGAATTAAAAAGAGAAGGAAATACTTAAAAGCTGTTTTCTTTCAGTTCCAGAAGGTGAAGTTACTGATTTGCCCCACTGGGCAACATATCCCAGAGACACCCAGTGGAAAACAGCACATCCCTCAGACACACCAACCAACATCTAGGCCCTGACCAGAAATACAGATCAATCTGTCTTGATTGACCTGAACCAAATCTGAATCTAACTGAACATTTATCTTATCCCCTCGCCCTTCCCTTCAAGGCTGAGGAGACTAAATAGGAGTCTTTGCTAGCCTTAAGGTATCTCAGCCTTACTGCCACCAGGGTGGAAGGACACCGAAGGCTCCTGCAGGTTGAGATGTCTGGATGTTTTTTCTTGGAGACAGATTGCTGTGCACATAGGCATGATCAGCTTCTTATTTTCTGGGCACTAAAACTCAATTTGTTTGCTTCTTTGCAACAATCCCAGCAACGTAAGTACAGACTCGGGGCTCTCAGCTCAAGCAACTACTGGAATGGAGAAAAACAGAGGAGAAAAGCAGTTGAACACCCACAAGCAGCAGGGTTCATCTTCACCAAATACCTGCAAGGGACAGAAGGCCTGAAATAATGAAAAAGGAGCGTGTCTAATCAGTCCAACATTTCTGTGAGTCACAGATCTGGTCTTTGAGAGATGAGCTTTAATGGTATCCAAAGCCTGCTCTCCTGTTGCTCTTAGCACTTTGGAAATTAGACGTGAAGGAAACAGTAAAGGAGACTGAGCTCCTCATCCCCACAAAAACCCACTAAATTCAGGCTCTGCAAACTGATCTGCTCAACTGCTTGCATACTTCGGTCAAGGCAGACAAGTTACCTACTAAGTTACACAGAATCAGAGCTCCTTAAGAGCTTCTTTCTGATGAAATGTTTTTAACTCCCACTTCTCTCAACTATATTCAACAGCCATAATGCAGCCTTTGCTCGAGATACCCAAACATCCACCTTCTTTTAGACATATTCCCAACTTCTTGCCTTACTGTCGGAAGTAGTGACAAGCATGTGATTAATCTAAATCAATTATTATTCATGAAGTAGATGAACAATTTCTTCAGGAGCAATTCAGTGCTGCTCAGTGCAGAGGTGTGGAAATGCAGGCAACACTACGCTAGTCCTATCATTACTAACACTATACTTGCTTTGTCACTCATGGAATCATTATAGCTGGAAAAGACCCCTCAGACCCCCAAGCCCAACCCCAACCCACCCCTCCATGCCCACTGACCACAACTCTTTGTGCCACATCTCCAGGAACAGTGACCCTATCACTTCCCTAGGTAGCTGTGCCAGTGCCTGACCACTCTGAGAAGAGTTTTCCTAATACCCAACCTGGACATCATCCCCAGTACAACTTAAACCTATTACCTCTCATCCTCACTTTGCTCTGCGAGCACTCAAGTCTTTCCATCCTACATCTTAGAGAAGGACAAGGATCCAGGTTCCTCAGTACAACAGATGCTCACTCTCTGGGTTTTTTCTCCCCCTCCCCAAGCAAGACTCATTTCATCTGTTAATGTCAGCAGGTTAATTATTTTAACTGCTGTACCAGAAATGCGTACTTAGAGCTGGCTAGATACAATGATTTAAAATAAAGCACATTGGCAACCGTGGTTCTGCTTGGCGTCCCCTCCCTTTCCTTAATTTGATGCTGTCCATTGGAACTGCAAACTTTCAGGATACGAGCGGATGCAGAGCTGCTTGTTTGGCGCTTTGCACATAGTTGGCTGGAGATAAGCTCACTGCCACACATTAGAAGATCAATGCAATCGTGAGCAGGTTCAGATTTTGCCTGATGTTTCTCATAGGGAACGTCAATCTGTTTTAAGCCTGCTGGGTTTGAGATCTATGCCAAAAGCACTGAACTGCTCAGGTGGGAAAGAATCTGCCAGAAATGAGGAAACACCACTACTTCCATTTAAACAAGGCTGATGGTGGATGCACAGGAGACAAATCAGAGCAGAAGGTCCCAGGGTCACTCAGATAGCATTGAAGGGCAGGAAGCTGGATCTGGACCTGTTCCAGACAAGGTCCCAGACCTCCCCATTACCTCTCAGGAGCACAGACCTAGTAACCCCAAGGTGTGAACAGCCAGCTTAAGCATGAAAAGGTCTTTAGCTTTGAACCTTTCAATCATTAATTCACAGGACACTGATTTGATTAAGCCAGTGCTTTCTAGGAAGGGAAGATGCTGATTCCCAATTGACCTTGATGTCTTCCCCCAATATTGTAATAAATGAGCACATTAACAGGTTATTAGTTCAACATGCCTGCAACATGGAACTACTAAGCACACCCAAACAAACTTTAACCTTACTATTTCAAGTACGGAAAGCTAAGGAAACGCTTCTCAGAACACCTCAGCATAATCTGACCTTCCACAGCACTCCTATTCCTCATGTACACTGTCTGGAATAAACAGTCTGGGCAACAGCATGGAAAACCTCAGGCTTTTTGGTGTCCCATTTGCCTTAAAAATAATGCTTTGCCAATGACTCTACAGAAAGAGACAAAAAAAAATGACATTGGGAGAATCCGCTTAAGTAAGAAAATGAAGAAGAGAAATAGTCAGGTATCATGCAGATGATTGAAGGGCTGGAGCATCTCCCCTGCAAGGACAGGATGAAAGAACTGGGGCTCTTCAGCCTGGAAAAGAGAAGGATCCAGGGGGAACTTATTGCAGCCTTCCAGTACCTGCAGGGGGCCTACAGGAAAGCTGGGGAGGGACATTTTATAAGGGCACGTAGCAACAGGATGAGGGGAAATGGTTTTAAACTGGAAGAGGGAAGATTTACACTAGATATTAGGAAGAAGTTCTTTACTGTGAGGGTGGTGAGGGACTGGAAGGCATTCAAGGCCAGGCTGGATGGGGCTGTGAGCAACCTGGTCCAGTGGGATGTGTCCCTGCCTATAGCAGGGGATTGGAGCTAGGTGATCTTAAAAGGTCCCTTCCAACCCAAACCATTCTATGATTCTACGAATACTCACCATTTTAGGAGGCGCCAGGACTAATATCACAAATCTGACTTCACAGGAGTTCTCACCCCAGTTCTGAGGCCTCTCAAGGCGACTGATGCAAACATGACGTCGCTGAAGGGACTTTATAGTGCAACTGTGGGGAAAGATGGCATGGTTACAGCACTACAAAACACACTGAACACAATTCTCCCTCTTCCATCTGCTTTCTAATAACAAAAAAAAAAAAAAAAAAAAAAGATAGCAATGTACCTTTTATTTGTAGTACTACAGAAACTCTTGCAAAGTAGCCCTCAAAATCCAACATCTACGTTAAACAAACACAGTTCACACCTGATTTGATGCAATCTTCTAAAATGCTTTTGGAGATGCAAAGGCAAGATGCCAAACACTTCCACCTCTTTTGCCTTGGGCAGATCTGTTTGAATGGCTTTCCCTCTTTGCTATCAGCTGTTATTTTTCTACAAACTGTACCAAGCCAGCTTTTAAGTTATCACCAGCCCAGACTGCAGCTCTCCTTAATAAATAAAAGAGACTTAGAGTCTCACAATACTTCCCAGCTCTTCTGGAAGGCACAAAGAGCAGTATCTGCCTATCAACACTGATGTACGACTTCCCATAACAGAGTGTGGCATTTTTTTCTGGTTTGAAGTCACTCATATTGCTTGTTCCATTTGATTTGTCCAGCAAGATCAATATCATAGTCTTTAGACCATCTTCCCTCTAATTTCTCTGCCATTAAACCAGGCCATCTTTCCTTTTAAGAGATATTCTAATGCTTTTACATCCTGATAGTCGTTCCCAGTCAGAGCAGCTGAAGATCCTTGGCTGGATATGTACTAGTTAGAAGCACATTACATTCTTCACGAAGTTCATAACCTGCATACCAAATCAGCCCAGCAAATATCTCCATGCTGAGTTCGCTTCCAAACTGTCATCAGGAAGTCAAGTCACCTATGCATATTAGTCTCAGAAAAGCACTTGTCCTAAAGCAACCCAATCGCTTCATTGTAATCATATAGGTTATGACTATGAGGACATTATTTCATATTTTCTATTTCCCTTTCACCAAGGCCTCTTAACCTCTTCCTAGTCAAATCATCTGAAGTAGCCTTGAGAGAGGAGGGAGTGGGAATAGAAATAATTTTTAAAAATCCAAACAGGTGTTAACATTAAGAATAAGTCTCTAAGTCATGGAAATAGAATGCAAGTTATCCTTTTTCCACTAGGCCTGCAGTTGGTCTCCAATACACTTCAGAATTGCAGCCATTTTTACCTTTCATGTCAAAGGAAGAAATAAACACCAGTTTTCACAAGCAAACAGAAGCCTTAAGTAGCAATCCTGCTGCAGCTGGGCAGCATACAAGATTATCATGGTTCAGGAAACCAATAGAACCAACGCATGAATTCTGCACCTAATAGGAAAGCCTAAATCAAGTGACCTAACACCTTAATTCCTCTTACCTCACCTTCATCCATTGGAAGAAGTGCACAAAAATGAATAGTTAATACACTAGAAAAAAATAATGAGCCTTTTTTTGTCCTCTTCTCAGCATTTTCAGACCTCAGTTGAAAAATGCTTTGGAAAGAATGGATTTCTGGACATTTTGTACATAATTGTCAGCTGGACCTGTTCATCTTGTACAGCTTTTCCTAATCATAATGATTCTATGACTCTATATCCATTCTAGAAATGGCCAGACAGATACTAGACACCTATTGCTCACAGTGCTGTACCAACACTTCACAAACAAATCTTTCCTTTACCACATCTATCAAGCAGCTCCCAGCATCTCGAGAAACTACTGAAGCCCAAAGCACAGCCAAAGATAGCTTCCTACAGGCCAAGGGTTGATCACACCAGCACATGGCCAACTGCCAGAAGTAGGGCAGGTTACCAAGGCATGCATGTGAACACATTTCCAAGTGATAACGTAAGTGCAACTTATCATTACCTCCCAGTAATGCTGCTCAGCAGTACCTGTTTGCCTGCTCCTCCACATTTGAGTGAATCCAAGAGCTGAAATCTTGCTAAAAAAACAGTGAATTTCTGCTCCTACCTGAGGAGAAAAAGTAAGCGTGTGGGATGCCTGCCTCCCTGGATATGTGAAATCACGTTGCAATACAGTTATTTGAAGAAATAAATATTATATAGGGCTATAATTAAGCCAGCTATTTGTTCCTCAGATTAAATGTCACAGCTACTGTTCTCCCTCAACTGGCAGTGAGATGCTTGAGCTCGACCAAAGGTGCCTTAAGTTGCAGTAAAGGAGGTTTCAAGTTAGATATTAAGGAAAAATTCATCCTGGAAAAAGCAGTCAGGCCTTGGAACAGGCTGCCCAAGGAAGTGGTGGTGTCATCATCCCTGCAGGTGTTCAAGAACCATGGAGATGTGGCACTTGAGGATGTGGTCAGTGGGCATGGTGAGGATGGGTTGGGGTTGGACTTGATGATCTCAGATGCCTTTTCCAACCTTAATGATTTAACAAAACCAGAATCAAAGCTACCCAACTGAAATCCAGCTGTTTCTTTGTCTAGCACTTACTGTCCCCACTTCTTTGCTTTAATTCTGTAAGTCAGATAAAATGAACCCAATCTGGAACCTTTTCTAGAACTGTGCAAATACTTGTAAAGAAAATAAAGAAAGTCTATTTGGCTCACATGGAGTTACCTTAAGCTGTGCAAATTCCTAAGTAAAACTGTGCAGTTCAGGCTAAAAATGTCACTGGAGTAGCACTTGAGTAAATTTCCACTTAAAGAGAGACATTTGGACAGTAAACAGCCAAAGCTCCTCCAGAAGCCTGAGGACTGGCAAGACATTTTCAGCTGACTAAATCAAGTATGGTTCGGCCAAAGCCTCCAAGTTGCTTTTTGGTTTGAGTGGAGCTAAATGCGATTCTCTTCTGGTTTGGCCAACAAGCAGAAAAATCTATTTTCAACCCATTATTACTCACATAAGGAAACATTTGGTTATGATTTAATGACATGTCAGGTTGCATTCTCAGCAGTTTCATCATTATTCGCCAATAACTGAGCTTATAAAAAAAATGGCCATTTGAATTATAGCACAAATTCCTGCTTCACTGCCCTCCTCCTTTCGGGCTGCATATCTTGCAGCACCCAACGTGGCACCTAAATGGTGAGAACTGGCAGCATTCCACCAAAATCACCAATATACAAAGTCACACATGCTGCAGTACTGCCCTATGCCCAAGATGTTATCAGATTAATAATATCTCTCAGAGAAGCCATAAAATGGGTCAAACTATGGAGACGCAAGAGAAACAAAAAGCATCTTTAAGCTGGGCAAGAAAGGAAGTCATTTGAGAAAGAAATTATCCCCTGCAGTAAGAAAAAAATGCCCAGTAGAGGTAATGAGCTAGCCAACCTTTTCCTGTCCCAGTGCAGAACAATAGTGACACTGCCTGTTCTCATCCACTGCAAATAAATCATTGGCAAAGCAGCTCCAGGCACAGGGCTTTCAGAAAGCAGAATTTACAAGCGAGGAATGGAGCTGCAACCAGCAGGCCAGCTCACCAGCAGTTTGGCACTAGGACGGTTAGGAAGTACAGAGCAAAATCAGTCCAGGATGAGGATTATTTCTGAGCGACAAACGCACTGTGCTCTAGAAAGAACATCCTCTCTAGTGGTTCATCTCCAGGGGAGTTAGGGAAAAAGCATTTCCTACAGGACAGCGCAGCGGAATCCACCCCTTCCTCCCTGAACACACTTGTAGGCACTGAGATTTGTCACTGTTCTTGTCAACAGCTCTCCTTCAAGACTCAAACTCCCAGTGAAGGGTTTGGATTTCACAAATCTCTTCAATAACACAGCATGCACAGTAGTTGTGACTCTAACTCCAACAATAGTACATTAAACATCACTACTTTGAACCAAGCAGCACTTAATGATGACAGCTTTGAAGTTTGGGGGAAAGGTCCTTGTTTCCAGAACTCAAAGTCCAGTTAAGCTGTTCAACAGCTGCCTTGTTTGATATCCAACGTAACCTCAAGCTACTAAGTTTTGAAAGGCTACCTGGTATTTTGAATTGTCCTCCTCATATGGATTTTTGCAGTAAGGTTATATGAGAATAAACAACTTTATAGCAACATGGGACACAAGCCATTGCGTTTTCAGTTGCAGAGAGGCTTCTTCCCCAGCTTTAGCTGTTCAAACAGCTCTAACAAATCAGTTGAATGCACTGCAATTAAGCCCTTCACCGACCAGCACACCAAATCAAACCAAATTCCAAACCAACCAAAGGAAATAGTTCTTCATTTACTCAGTACAGACTACAAAGCAGCCCCCCAGTTTCATGTGTTTTTTTTCTTTTCAATTCTGGAAAGCAGAAATTATATTCATCTCCTGGCAAGAAGAGTATTGCCTGGAGGTGGTACTGCCTGAGGAGTTCCACTCTGCTCAGGCAGCATTTGTTCAATAACGCATCAGCTGGCATTTCTCACAGAGGGCACCAGCAGTTCACTGGCAATGACTGCAATACCCTTAGAATTACAGGTTCTACATCACATCCCAGGAAACAAAAACGTTGGGCATTCACATCTGCACTTGTCACATGATAAGGGTAGTAATTGGGATTGATAAGACATGTTCGCAATCAAAGCCACTTTTCCATACAGTGCCTGCTGGAAAAGGGGGGCTAACTTTGACTTTGAAATTTGGCAAGACAAAACCAACAGCTCTTATATTGGCTTCTTCCCCATCTAGACATGCAAAGCTTCTACTCTACCTCTTCTGGACTCTGGATCACAGTGAATTCAACTGGTTCCTAGAGAAAGCAGACGTTCTTCCCAGCAGTACATGTACCTGCTGCAATCATTGCTTGCTGAAAGAATATCACTGTCTCCACAAGCTCCTACTAAAAGCAGAGCTTCCTCATGTCAACTGATCAATTAAACATGATGGATGGGGCACTGGGCAGCCTGACTTAGTGCTGGATTTGTTGGCAACCCTGGGCATGGGAGACTTGAAACCAGGCAATCTTTGAGGTGCCTCCCAACTTCAATTCATTCTACAATTTTACGATATACAAATACATAGCAACCTTCACTTCTCTGCAGGTGAGCACCACTTGCTAGTGGGGCATGCAGCCCTGTGTCGCTCTCAGCTACACAGCATTTTAATGAAGGAATCCCAAGGTTTCCATGTGCTCACGTACCCTGGGTAAGGCTGTGGTGAGAACAGGTAATTCTGCAAATAAATAAAATCTCTGAAGTCTACTGTGAATCAGAAGTCAGTTCTCCTGGACCTCACTGGAGCATTCAAACCTTGAGATCTTCAGTTCCAACAGCTTATTCTGTCCTGTGAATGTGGCCAGGCTCAGATAGTACTTCTGACCTTGCTAGTGGTTTAACAGACCTGAAGCTGCCAGGAGAGCATCAATTGCAGCAGAAGCAGAATAGCTACTTTACCCTAGGTTTTCCCCACCTCTCTTCTCCCTGAGGTTTGAATGAAAGGAAAGAACACACCCTCATTCCAACAAGAGGAGAAATGGAAGCAAGTTTTTGTGTCTGTGAAGTATACTGCTCTGCAGAACTCACTGAAAATCCCCAAAAGCATTTTGTCTTCAGGAATATTTCAACCTTGTACTTCTGCAATGCATCTGAGGAGAAAAAGTACTACCAAAGCTCTATCTCTGAGTCGCTCCTCCTCATTAATATAATCTTATTATGATACCTAAACTCCTTTCATTTGCTAGGAGGAAAAAGTTAAGGTGCACAGAAAACAGCAGAGCTAATTTAAATCTGTACTCTTTGTTAAATTTAAGTGCAATATAAAACAGTAAAAAGCTATCTTAGATTCTTCCCACTCACACAGGAAAAAAAACCATCAAATTCCTTTTACTTCAGAGTTTGCAGTGTTGTTTTGCAATCTGACTTCAAGAAGAACTTAAGGTCTAAAAATACCATTCTCAATCCATTGCACAATAGCTACAGCAGCAATACAGTGCAATAATTATATAATTACAGTTAATAATTCATCACTGCTTTCCCACCACTTTCTTCTCCCTCTTTAGAGTAACAAAAAGAAGAAACAAGGAAGTTTTGCACAAGACACCTTCAGGCTGTAAGCTTGTTTTTCAGATCATGTCTTGTCATGGAAGCTAGCATTACTTGGATATATTCAAACTTTTGACTCACCTTCTACAGAAATACTGATCCGACCCTTTTCAGCTTCATGTATATCACAGCATTTGTATCATGACTTCTACAAGTGCTTTGTTATTAAGTCAGTGCTCTATACAGCTTTGCACAAAGCCATATCACGTGCCATAGTAGGAACTCCCACCTCTGTACTCCCTAAAGTTGCATGCACATTCCCTATCATATCTGTGACATGCAACACAGAAACAAACTGCTCAGAATCTCTCCGTGTTGAATCACAGAATGACCATTTTTGCTATGTGAACTCATCTCCTCAGTTGAGCAAACTATTCTGAGCATCCCAGGGATAAGAGCAGAGGCTGACAGTAGTACACGTGGCACAGACATTATCCAATTGACTTGCTCTACAGGACAGACACCTCTGACATGCACGAGTCCTCTTTTGTAAGTGATTAAAAAATTAAAAACAACACAACTATCTCCAAGGCAGAATAGTCTACATTTCTTCCAGCTGTAAGCAGAAACACTGCTAGGAGAAGAAAAGCTATCGTGACAGCTGTCCTACAAACCAGCTATGAATTTTGCTATGTGCTCGCAGGCATATATACAACATAGGTTAACCCCATTCCCAGATAAATGACTTGGATATCTCATGACAACTTGACTGGAGATTACATATGAATACAGAAACAGATTGAAGTTAGATTGTTTCAGTTAGCTCAGTGACTCAGACTTGGGCATTTCTCCATGAAGGGACAGTTTGGCTCACCCTACACGCTTGACTATGGGACAATGATTTGAAAACCAAGCAACCCAGCTTCAGTCAAGTGGAAACTGGGGTGAAGTCATCCTGGCTTCTAAATTCTAAGTGACAAAGCCCTTACTGCCTTATGGGGCTGCTCCAATGTTTAGCAGTGTTGACAGTGTCTGAATTAATTGCCAGCAAACAATCAGTGTCTGAATAGTGTCTGAATTTCTGAATTCAATTTCTAGTTGCAAGGTTTTGATGTTTGCAAAGGGCTTAAGAAGTCTTTCAGTACAAGGTCACAGGCTTTGGCAGTCAAAGTAGTCCATGATCAAGTTCATTTGTCCTTTTTTCAAGAGCTCCTAATTAACATCCGTAGTAATTAGAATAACCGGGCTCTGAATTTTTTCAGCATTGTTTGTTAACCCTAGATTTAGACAGCATCCAGCAATTTAATGCCTTGTGGAGACCGTGGTCATCTCTGCCCAAATTGCTGCTTGCAATTCGTTTGCAAATGAGCCCAATGCTCAGAGAGCCCACCAGGTCAGGACAGATGGTCAGAGAAGGCCTCATCACCTCAACTTAAAGAGCGTATTCTCAACTGCTATTCCTCTCTGCAGTAGGAGTAGTTGCAAGTTTTGAGCAACCTGCATGTTCTGATAATCAACAACCCAGGTACTTACATGATACAGAGCCAGGACTGCTGATACTGCACCCCCGTGACTGTCGCTGTGACCCCTTGAATTGTATCTGATAAGAGGTGAACTAGGGGAGAAGGAAAGAAGCATTACAAGCTTGTTCATATTAGCATGCAACTACAAATTACATTTCCTTTCAAACTGAAGCTAAATGCTAATACCAAGCATATTTAGCTGCATACTGGATGGATGCAAGGATTGGGGACGACAATAGGAAGAAGTGGAAACATTTGAATTGATGCCTTTGAATTCTGCCTTAAACTATTTGCAGCTTGAAGAGGCAGCTGTTTTCTCCCTCTAACATCATTCTACCGCAATATTAAGTTATTAGAATAGCATTATTCAACACACACAGGACTAAAGGAGACTTCATCTTCCAACTCCCATGCCCTCTCTCCTCTCTTTGCAAGTATTGTTCTCTCAGATCGTTTGATGGCACCGCTTAGTTTTGTTTTTTTTATTGGCAGAAAGCCTAAAATCAAGATATAAATGCAAAGCACTAAGACAGGCAGCAAGAAGTAACCAAAGCATGAACATGCTTACTACATGCTCAGAACTTGACATATCTGTTAAATAAATTCACTCAGGCTGTGACAGTTACATTTGAGGTGCGATGTACATGTTTGTATATTCATTCCTGTTGGCTCTGAAACGTCATGGATGCCTACAGAGAAACAACGCTTAGTTAAGCTTCTTTACATCCTGGGCTAAAAGGCAGTGTTTTAGGCTGTGCTATGACATTCACTGGTAGATAAGGTGACACAAGCCAGCGTTTCTAAGTCTACCCCACTTTTGAGTTTCTAGAGTAAACCAGTGAGCCTCTTGCCCCTTCTAGTGAGCTAGGGTCAATGTGAAGGCTCAGCCTTCCCCCCAAAAAACTGTTCATTCAACTCAGAATTCCTCAGCCTGTGTGAATTCAGTTGGAGAATCACAAGGCAAAAGGAGCCACTTCTGACACTAGAAAGCATCTCCCTGCAGAAGAACATCTGACACTTTTCTAAGGACAATCACTCCTAATGTGATTGTCCAACTGACAGGAAATTCCAGTGCTGGAGACCTCTCCCTCAGGAGAGCATTAGTGCATCTGAACGGAACAGTGACAAAATTCCACTTAAACAAAACTTTGGAGATGAGGCCCTTCAGCCTAGCTGACCAAAATAACCCCCAGCACTGCATGCAACATGCACATTTGGGAAGCATGCATTAGTGAGTGGTCAACACACCACCAATGGAAAGGATGACTAATAAGTGTTATCTGGAAACTAATCAAGTATGGATTACCATTCCCTTCTCGCGGGGTCCCTGAATCTGTGAATAAAGTGCTCATGATTTTTTCAAAGTTACAGCTTGGCTCCGTGTTCTCGGGGTCTTCAGCAAAATGTTTCAGCATCTCTCGAAGGACATCATCCAAAGAGGTGGCTGTTTCATCAAGGATGATGCTGGCTCTGGCCAAGAACCCATCCAGGTCTCTGTGGGCTCTGACTTCTTCCTCAAAATTCTTTAATTTCAGGTACTGTATTGAGAAGACATCACAGCATTAGATAGGTGTACCAATACAAGACAAAGGAGTAAAGTTCTGTAGTTTGCAAGACAACAGCTTTTTCTGATATTACTATCAACAAACCAATGGTTTTAGAATCACTTTTTTTCAGATCACATTGCAAAAGTAGTTTTTTTATATTGTTAATGCATTAAAAGGCAATTTTGAGGCTTATGCTAATTGAGTCTCCATGGGTGATTGCCTGGTCACAGCTTCCACCCTGATGTTGAATGCAGTGATGAATAAATAAACCAATTTCATTTCCTAAGATAAAAGATAGCCTGCTTATGGTACCATCTTAAGCCTTCTTCTGGTTTAAACAATTCAACATGTTTGCAATGACACGGGCAAAGCTGTCAGGAAGAAATCAAGTCCCAGCTCAGCAGAGTGAAGAACTACTAGCGTGCATCTCTAGGCATCCTATGTCAGCTCTTCCTAAAGAGCCATCTCTCCAAGTCTTCCTAATTCAGGAGCTTGGAGAGGGAGATACGGAAATCTCATGCAGCCCAGTGTCTTTTTATTCTTCCTACATTCTTAGTGTTGTCCCAAGGAAATTTTCTTCCTCTCCACATAACATTTAGATTTGAATCAGTGTGTGAGAGGAGGAAAACCAGATGGCAAGAAAAGGCCAGTACTGCCTCAACTCTGCTGGTTCTGTCTGTTGTCCCAGTCAGACTCGTAGACCTTGAAATGGAAGAAACAACCACGCTGTATTACAGAAGCTCAATTCCTTTCTTCATTTGTCAGGTATGACATTTGTTAATTGAATTATCAAACTGCAGATTTTGTTGTTCCCATTTCACAGTTCTTAGAAATCCATGCACGCAGTTAGCACTCTCAGTAGTGAATCAAGGACTGACAGTCCTGTCCTACCCTTCAACAGCTTGAGATAAAACAAGGAAATAGGACTTGCATTTCATTATATGGATCTTCCATCCCACAGGAAGCTAGACAAGACGTTATGAGTCGGCAGACCGGATTTTAAAGATGCATTTGATTCTACAACTCCCCTTAACCTCAGTAAGGCATACACTCCAAATTGCGTTAATAAAACTAAAACCATGCTGCCTGCACAACAAAGACCTTGGCTCATTGCCCCCGCTGTTATAGGGACCACTATACTGCTTGAGTCCCTTCCTCTCACATATACCCACTCCACCTTTTCCATTTATAGGCTAGACACTAAGAAAAATGCTAATATCTCACTAATTACTGTAATTATCGCAGCAACTATCAAGTTGTCAGTACACATCCATTGCAATTAACACTGTTTTACTTTGCATCAATCATTTCTTACACAGCCTTGGAGGACTGAGACTGAGGATTCTCTGAAGGATTTCATTGCCACCCCCGAGGCTTTACTGCCATCTGCTCTTAGGAGAGGAGACAGTGACACAGCTATGTCACCATCCCACCTAAGGTGGGAGGTGGTAGAACTGCAAGTGGCCAATCCATCTTAGGCTATCACTGCATGAAAGCAGGTTAAATACCTATCACCACCTGTAATATCTGTGCTCATGAGTTCACCAGGTGACAAGAACTTCTCTCAAAGGCGTCCTGTTCTGGCTTGTTTGGCACACAGAGTCCAACCTAGGATGGATGTTCAAACAGTGGAAAGATTAAACAGTCTACAGAGGATTTAGAGGAGGTTCTAGGTGGATTTTGTGAAACAACTTTTCCTAAAGAGCAATCAGGCACTGGCACAGGGAGGTGGTGGAGTCACTGTCCCTGGAGGTGTCCAAGAACCATGGGGATGGGGGCACTTGGAGCCACAGTCAGTGATCACAGTGGGGATGGGTTGGGGCTGGACTTGGTGGTCTCAGAGGTCTCTTCCAGCCTTCTGGATTTTATGATTTAACAAAAACAGAAGAATATGGAGCAAAGGAAGTATAAAAAAGTTAAGGACAATTGGAATGCTGCAGCATCAAGATGGTCTCAAGAAAGCAAAAGTTTTCATGTCATCAATTTCTCACATGCTTGAGAGAAGTCATCAGCAACAGAACCATGAAAGCAAGAAGTTGGCTGATAGATAACAGAAATGAATCAGAGGCATTCAGCAGATGGCTATTATCTGCCCACATCACGTCAATCAATGCCGATCCTCCACTGATCTGCACAGGACAGCAGCATTTGCTTGTTGTGTTAGGACACCAATGTCAGCAGCTTGGATGCAAGTCATGAGGACTTGACTCAAATGCAAGACCTTGCACCTGGGTTGAGGCAATCATCACTACGAGCTTGGGGATGAAAAGATTGAGCACAGCCCTGCCAAAAAAGAACTGGGGGTACTGGTGGATAGGAGAGGGGCATGAGTCAGCCCTGAAAGCCCAGGCTTTTAGCAGGGTCTGTGGTGATAGAACAAGGGGAAATGATTCAAGCTTAAAGAAGGTAGATGTAAGTTGGATATAAGGAAAGTTTTTACAATGAGGGTGGTGAGGCATTGGAACAGGTTGCCCAGAGATGTGGTTGATGCCATGTCCCTGGAGACTTTCAAGGTAAGGCTGGATCAGGCCCTGGGCAGCCTGATCTAGCTGTACCATCCCTGTTCACTGCAGGAGAGATGGACAAGATGAACTTCAGAGGTCTCTTCCAACTTTAAGGATTCTTTGATTCTATAACTCCAGCTTTGCAACAATCTTCTAGCAATACCTTCTGTAAGTAATTTCCATACCTCAGCCCTGCTTTATTCCCCAGCTCCTGTTCTATTATATGAAATAAGCACAATAACTACCCCTATTACCACTCCTATAACACTGAGTAAGATACGCACACAGAACACTGCAAGGCAGCAAGCCACCATGAGAGGATATAAATACATTGCTCACCAGCTGAGACAAACCAAGAGCAAATTAGTTGAATTGCTGGTACAGCAACACCTCAGAGATAGCTCAAACAGAACCTGTTTCAGGCAGGACACCCACTGTTTTGAAGAGAAATTAATGACTACTCCTTCACAAATATTTTTAGCCAGATCGTCAAGTCACACCAGGATACTGCATGCTGGAAACTTCCTAGCAAGAAACTCAAGACAGCTACTCAATAGTCATTTTAATAGTATGCGTATCCCTAATTGCAAAGCTGTACAGTGCATCATAGCAAGAAGAGAGGCTGTCATTTCAGGAATAAGAATGCACTGGAAACAGCCTCCCCTAAACATCACACAAGCAGGACCCTTGGCCAACATCCATTAGACCAAGCAGCACACAATCCATGCAAAACAAAGCTTTCAACACTCATCAAGACGACCCAAAATCAACGTCATCTGCTGGCCTGCTGCTCCATAGACAAAGTCCACTTACAGAGGCTGCAAAAACCTCAGGAGAAGGTGTTCCCCAAAACCACATTGTCCTGAGCACAGTTCCACCCCTGCTGCTGCCAGATACTCACAGATGTTTCCTCAGAAGCATACTGAGATGGTGATTAAGTAGTTCAGACTGTGAGCAGATTCCCTACACGCCCATCAAGGGACATACCAAACTTGTCCAAGACATGCATTGCCTTTCCAGCACTCCTCAAGGGAGGCAAGAGCCATGGACTATCATCAGAGGACAGGGACAGTCCTGAAGAGAAGTGTCTCTCTGCACATAAAACATCTGACTGAACTCTTTTTCTTCTAGTGATGCTTTCTCCTGTGACCCAAGACCCAAATTCCTCTACATTTGAAGCACAGCAATTTTACTTGTCCACCATGGCATTTTTTCCCCTCTAGCCTTGCTAAAGCATGCTATCCCCTCTGGTATTTGTTGCTCTATAGCACACTAAAACGCTCATGCATGAACTACAGGCCAGAATTGCAAGAACCCTACAGCTCTGAAGAAAAATGCTGGAAGACAAGATATTTTGAGCTTCCAACTATTTCTTATCAGAAGCAGATCCTGCATTTGGACTTAGAATTTTCACCTTAAGTGATCAAGCTCTTAGGTTACTTTCAGTCAAGTGCAACCAGCTCAAAGCAGCTTAGGCAGTCGTATTAGATAAGACAAATTAAACAAGTCTGTAATATTAAACTGGCCAACATCAACGATGTTACAAGTTTACACAGCCAGCCACTCCAGCCCAGGTGGGACAAGAGATGACAGCCCAAAGCACCACAGGTCATACTTCAGCCCCAAAGATCAAGACTGCAAGTGAAATTAAATATCAGTTCATTTCCTCTCTGCATACTTTGTACTTTCATAGTTGGAGGTCTGCAGTAACACAGCCTATGGGAGGTTTCTCATGTTTCTGCCTTATCATTATCAAGTTACTGTCTCAAGAGTAAACTAAGCACTGTTTCCCAATTGTCCTCCTAAACAGAGTGTTTCCATGCATTTCACTCCTGCTGAACCTCATGGATGCAGATCTGATTAGCAGGAATAAACAGGAAATCAAGTCACAGCAGTGTCTACGGGGTGTTTGTGCTTTCAGCTGGAAAGGAACTAAGCAGCCCGGGTCTCTGTGGTGTATGCTTGGATCCCTTCGCAGGCAGCTGCAGAAGAGAAAGTGATGAATTAACATGTCAAGGAATTGTCTGGGACAAAACACAGTGAAACAATTACAGAGAAATCGTTTGGAGAACAAGCAGCATGTTGGCTTTGTATTCTTAAATGAAGACTGAGGAATTTAGGGAAGAAGGTATTAATATATCCTGCTCTGGCCAATAAAAACCATCTCCCCACTCCCACAGCGTGCTTCAAAATCCTTTTCTCTGCTTCTCGATGAAGTCTATCACCCGGAATCCCTACTTACCTTCCTCGATGTGTGTAGTAACACGCAGCCAGCACTTTCATTTTCAGCTGGAAAAGAAAAAAGTTAAACAGTGTTACTCTCACAGGCATCTGACAGGCAGCACAAGGCTCAGGACAAGGTGAAGTATCACTCCTGGCAGAGGACTATATGTAGAGAAAAAGCAGAGATTCAATTTTCACAACATTTCCCATTTAGGAAATACAAACCAAGTACAGAAGCAGCCTTTTGCCAGTCCGATCAGCCACAATTTGAGTCCTGTAGTTTTCTGTTTTGTTTTTCATATTCCCTATCTATTTTTACCCTTTACTACCCACCCCCTTTCCCCGCTGCTTCCCCCTCAAATCTAATTCTTAATACTTTAGGTAATCATTTAATCCCATGCATCGCTGCTTGATAGATTGAGGCTAAGATTGCATGAGTCACTCTCGTTTGGAAACCATTCTTGTCCTCGTTAAAAAGTCAACAATAACACCCAGGCACTTCCAAGGGAGCAGGCTGTGAGAGATCACACGCAGTGACTTGAGGATGAGCACATTAGTGTCCCATCAACTCACCACTCTGCCTCCATAAATCAAAGCGTAAAGCAACAGAGCTCTTGAGAAAGAAAACTGCTGTTTAGAGACTATTAGCTGTCACTCATTATGAAGTCGAGCTGCAGGGACAGAGGTGTCCAAGAGTTCCTGGTTCGAAAGATAGTGTTAATGTCATCTTAGGGTGTCTACGAAGCAGATTTTGTGATATAAACTAAAAAAAACAAATGAAATCCCATTGTTTTTGCCATGCCCCCCCCCCCTTTGCTGCCTGCAGCATTACAAACACTGCAGGTACTGTTCACCCTTCTCCCTCAAAATCTTCACCTTCCAACTCTTCCAAAGAAACCACAAGATTGTGCAGCTACTGAAATTATGAACAGTTCTTGTCCAAATAAGCACAATGACATGGAAAAAAACTACTCAAGACCAAAAAGCCTTTCCAAGCTGTGGAAAAGTACAGAGATGTAATAGAGAGTTGCAGACATTCATGGGACATTTGTTTCTTCCACATACCTGATTTTCCAGGTCTCAGCCTCTCAGAACTGCTTCAATCCCACTCCACAGGATGATCCCACTACAAGCTCAGCCCTGCTGCCCTCTGTACTCAGCCCTCTGTACTTGAGTGCTGTGTTCTGTTTTGGGTCCTACACTAGGAAGGATCTGGAGCACAGCTCTTATGGGAGCAGCTGAGGGAACTGAGATGGGTCAGCCTGGAGAAGAGGAGGTTCAGGGGAGACCTTATGATGTCCCACAACTGCCTGAAATGAGACTACAGTGGGATGGGAGTTGGTCTCTGCTTCCAAGTAACAGTTACAGAAACAGACATGATGTATTTACCTTGCACCAAAAGGTGACATACACACTTAAATGGTTAAAACACTGGGAATCAAACTAGAGACAGAGTTGACTCCACAGTAGAGGAAAATAGGGAGAGGACTACATTCATCTTTAAATAAAATGGTTCAGAGGCTTTGGTTACATCACTCAACTTCTTCTAAAGTTCACTTGGACACTCTACACATGATTAAGAGCATCACTTAAGTCTGCTGGCACAGCTGTTCCAATTATTACTGCTTTTGACACATTCTTTGGAAAGCACAAGCTGTTTTATCTTGAAAATGCTATTTATTATTAAGAAGTAAGCACGCAACTAAACCAGAAACATCAAGCATTTTCCCCAGGCTTTTCCATTTGTAGTTCTCCAGCGCTCACTTACTCAATTTACAGCCTAATTACACATGCAGAAGTATGCTGGAAGATTTGGAAGCCATAAATATTCATTGAAGAGAAAACATGTTTCAGTTTTTCAGCTTTTGCATAAAATGAATCTAGAGAAAAAAAACGCAGTCTTGAACAATAGCAAGCACGTGCTAAAAGCTGGTATCTGTGGTCTGTCCTTCACACCACGCCTTCACTTGCATGCAAATGCAACAGAAATTTATGTTGTCCTTTTATCATGCAGCATCTCTTGGCTCCTCTTATCAGTTTCCAGTGCATATCAACCCATTCTGCTGACAGCTCTCTCAAGTACTCATCGGGAACGAGCTCCGATTGCTGCTTTATCAACACAAGCAAAAACATCTAATTACTTCTGTTGAACCAGAATCATTCAAAATTCTCAAAAAAAAAAAAAAAAAAAAAAGCTGTTCTGGGCATAGAGGTGATGTTTTGGGAGCCTCATTCATCATTTCACCAAAGTAATGCAGTGTTCAAACTCAGTCCAGGAAGAGGAGACTGATGGATGTCACCGTCCCAGTTCTGGGCTATCATCTGGAAGACCCACTGGCATGCTATAGCATTGCTGAAGGACAACTGCAAACTAACAGCAATATAGAATCGTGATAGGACAAGAGGTAACGGCCCTAAGTTGCACCAGAGGAGGTTCAGGTTGGATATGGGAAAAATTCCTTCAAACAGCAGTGAGGCACTGGAATGGGCCGCCCAGGAAGGTGGTCACCATCCCTGGAGGTATTCCACAACAACAAGTGGCACTTGGGGATATGGCTTAGAGGGCATGATGGGGATGGGTTGGGCTTGGTGATCTTCGAGGTGTTTTTGAACCTTAATGATTCTGTGAAGAATGGGGAAAAATACACACATTTCCCAAGAGTGTTTGTGTCTGGCTTAATGAACATCTAGCTTCATGTCACCTACCACAGACAGAAGAACCTGATAGGCAAACCAGGATAAAATCATGCAGGAGATTGCCTACGACATGTCTATTAAGCAATAATTATGCTCAAGCCTAAGACCAGCGTGCATCTGCCTGATACCTTTTTTCCCTCAGCCTCCTGACACTATATTACTGCTTCCCCCTCCAATCTTGGAGGAGCCATAAAGATACAACACCCTCAACCTTTGCACTCACACACTTCACTCGGGGCAGAAAGGGCATGGATTCACTCCCTATCTACAGGGAGGCAGGTTCCACCTACCTATCAACCATCAACTACACCTTGCTACCAGGAAAAATTTCACACCTGAGTGTCAAGATTAAGCATACTTAAGCAGAGAGATTAGGGTCACATAGCATTCCCATTCCTATTTTCATGGTTCTGCATGCTGGACAAAGCAGGCTGCACCAGTTTATATTAGGCAAGCAAGTTATGGGCATTTTATCATTTTTGTCCTCTCACACAGTTAGAGCAGAGCTGCCAGGCCTGCTGACCTTAGCTGTTAGGCTGTGCTCCAGGTTCCGCTCAGGATAACCAAAAAGTCAGCAACACTTCTCTGGCATCCCCTGGGATCACACCAAGGCAACACACACAGCCCAGATTTCTAGGAGGCACGCATCCGTGTGTGCAGCATTACCAAATGCACTGCAAGCAGCTCTCTGGGAGTGAACGTCAACATTAGCAATGGTGATGAATTGCCAACATTAGACTTGCTCTCGTGCCCTTGTGTGAGCACACTTAGACCCCTGGAGGGACAAACATGGCATGCCTCCATTATTCCTATCCTTCCACTTGCAGAATCTGGATGGGTCCTGGATGTGAGCAAAACTTCATACATGGAAGCAAGAAACGCAGCAGGAAATCTATTCCCTGTAACTTGAAGCAGTTCCACTGGCTGCCTTAATATAAAATTACTGATAGTGACACAGACAAATGAAGTCTAATCGCAGTTTTTTAGCCTCTTCAACATAATGAGACCTATGAAAAGGCAGCCCTGAAAACAAACCCACAGAAGTCTTACGCCAAAGTTTAAGGCTATTCACATTCCATCTTAGACATGGTAGATGCCCCTCCTTCAAGATGCCCAAGGTCAGGCAGGGCAGGGCTCTGAGCACTTGATGGAGCTGTAGGTGTCCCTGTTCATTGCAGGGGAGTTGGACTAGATGACCTTTAAGGGTCCCTTCCAACTCAAACAGTTCTCTGAGACTCTACGATCTCCTTTCCATTCCTTTCTTGCAATGGTCCCCAGTGCCGCCCTTAACACCTGAAGAGTCCTAAAGCCATTGGATCAAAGCAGCTCTGCAGGAGATATTTGCAGTATCTTTTCTTTTGGAAGGTAGGAAAGCAAATCAGATGAGGAATGTTTTGGCTGTAGAGGTGTCAGCAGAGGTTATTTTGGATCTACGTGAGCTCCCCAGCATATCTGGGTGAGCAGGCTAATAAATGACAGCAGAACACTATATTAGCATTTTCACAGTCCTAAAAAAAAGAAAATGCAAGGATCTGATGTAAGTGGAAGCACTTGAGCATGGATTGTTCTGTTTTATAAACGAAAAATCTCATCTAGGTATCGGTGATTTCTCCCAGGCCCAAAGCAAATCTAAGCTTCCACTACTTGCGTAAGGCAGATTTGCAAGCAGCAAAAACACTCTTGCTTTTACAATTTCTTGCCTTTAAAACAAAATTAAATCCCATCAACACATGTCAGGAGAAGAGCTCGTTAGCAGTAGCAGAGGTACCACTTGCTCTTTGCTGTCAGCAAGGTATTGCACAAGCAGGATCTCAAGGGGATTCTTCACTGTTCTACAATTACTGTGCTGAGTCTGGCCTCATTCCCATCAGACTTGATGGATTTGGGCTGGATAGGAAGCTTTGATAGCTGTGTCACAACCACCCCACATTCCTAAGAGAGGGCAGTGGGCTAAGGAGCAAAAGAAAGCCAAATATAAGCTGAGTTCATCCCTCCAGCTGACAACCAGGTTAAAGGCAGGTGGCAATAAGAAACAGGCTGCCAGTCTGGTTCAGAGAGGGTGGGGAGGAAATCCTCACCTGAATACTGCTCAGCACAGGCACTGAAACAACTGACCTTTGAACTTCTCTCCTGCCACTGCAGAAGGATTGGAAAAAGGCAGCACAGAGGTACAGACAGGACAACAGAGTTGAGTACTGTGCCACTCATCACACCTCCTAACTCATAGAATCATGGAATGGGTTGAAAAGGACCACAGTGATCATCTGATTTCTACCCCCTGCTCTGTGCAGGGTCACCAACCAGCAGACCAGGCTGCCCAGAGCCGCATCCAGACTGGCCTTGAATGCCTCCAGGGATGGGGCATCCAC